GTGGCGCGGACCTGCAGGATGTGGGGGTTCACCGGTTCACTTCTGCGAGTCAGCGGGTGACCCACTGCACGGAGGCACGCACAGGCCGACACCTGGCCACGTTCTCGCGTCGGCCGGGGTCGAGTCTCTACACCCTGACCGTTGAGTCTCCTCCTGTCCCTGCGTCTGGTCAGGTGGCTGTGTCAGGTCAGGTGCTTGCTGCTGCGTCCCGGTCAGGTCCTGAGTCTGCCCCCTGTTCTTGTCGCCTCCTGTCTCACGAGACTCTCCTGTGGCACCACCGTCTTGGCCACCCCTCCTTGCCCTTGTCTTCGGAGCATGGCTTCCCGTGTCCTTGTCTCTGGTCTTCCCCAGTCTCTCCCTCCCCTTCCCTCCGGGCCAGGACCTTCCTGTGTCCCCTGTGTCGAGGGTCGCCTCCGGGCTGCTCCTCACTCCTCCCAGTTCCCCCCGACAGAGGCTCCTCTGCAGACGCTTCACATGAACGTGTGGGGCCCAGCCCCCGTCCGTGGGCAGGGTCACGAGCGCTACTTTCTGTTGGTGGTTGACGACTACTCGTGTTACACCACAGTCCTCCCCTTGCGCAGCAAGGGTGATGTCACTGAGGTGCTGATCGACTGGATCCGCGAGGCTCGTCTCCAGCTCAGAAAGAGCTTCGGCTCGGACTTTCCTGTTTTGCGTCTGCACTCGGACAGAGGCGGAGAGTTCTCCTCGCGCCTTCTGCGAGACTACTGTCGTGCACGGGAGATCCGCCAGACCTTCACGCTTCCGGACTCTCCACAGCAAAATGGGATTGCTGAGCGCCGCATTGGCATGGTCATGGATGTCGCTTGTACGTCCATGATGCATGCGGCTGCCCCCCATTTTCTGTGGCCGTTTGCGGTGAGGTACGCGGCGCATCAGCTCAACCTTCACCCCAGGGTCTCTCGGCCCGCGATGTCCCCAGTCTTGCTGTGGACGGGGAAGGTTGGCGATGCGTCGGCGTTCCGTGTCTGGGGATCTCGGGCGTTTGTCCGCGACTTGTCTGCGGACAAGCTGTCCCCTCGTGCTGCTCCCTGTGTCTTCCTTGGCTTCCCCACTGACGCTCCAGAGTGGCAGTTTTACCACCCCTCCTCTCGTCGTGTTCTGTCCTCCCAGGACGTCACGTTCGACGAGTCAGTCCTCTTCTACCGCCTCTTCCCCTACCGCACTCCTTCCCTCCCCCCTCCGCCGGACTTCCTTGTGCCGGTTCCCCCCCCGGTAGACCCCCTCCCCCCTCAGGTTCTTGCCCCCTCAGGTGTGTCCCAGGTAGACGCAGTTGACCCGGTCGAGGTTACTGGTGACTCTGGTGCTGCTGCGGGTGCTTGGCCTGGGGGTGCTGACTCTGGGGGTGCAGTGCGCGGGGGTGCCGGGCGTGGAGGTGCTGCTACTGGGGGTGCTGAGCCTGGGGGTGCTGGGCCTAGGGGTACTACTGCGGAGGGTGCTGAGCCGGGGGGTGCTGTGCCTGGAGCTGCTGAGCCTGGGGGTGCTGAGTTGGGAGCTGCTGAGCCTGGGGGTGCTGAGCCTGGGGTTTCTCCTGCTGCTGCGTCTCGACGGGAGCCCCTCTCTCCACAGGAGCTGCGCGAGTGGTTTGCTCGCCGCTGGAGGCGTGCTGCTGGAGCTGGAGCTTCTTCGACCGTCGAGGGTGCTAGTGCTGTCGGTCCCGGAGCTGCTGGGCCTGCGGGTCCTCCTGGAGCTGGAGCTGCTAAGGATGTTGGTGCTGAGACCACTGATGTCTGTCCTCGCGGTGGTTCTGCAGCTGGTACTGCTGGAGGTCCCGCCGCTGGAGGTGTTGGTGGCGCTGGTACTGTCGCTGAGGGTGCTGGTGCTGTCCCTGCTGAGTCTGGAGCTGCCGCGCGGCCTCGGCCGTACTTCGTTCCGCTCCTGCAGCAGGTTCTTGGTCGTTCTCCTCCGGTAGAGTGTCCACAGCCTGTCCAGTCGCAGTCACTGTTGGAGCCTTCCTCTCCTCTGCCTGTTCCCTCTCCTTACACTGGTCCTACTGGAGGTCTTACTGAGCGTCGTGAGCCTGCGTCTCGTCCCGCGTCGCCTGTTCGTGCTGCTAGCGCTAGTGGTCGCGGTTCGCGTCAGCGTCCTCCTCCTGTCCCTGGCACGCACCGGATGTCTCTGCGTCTGTCCACTGCTCCTCTGCGTGCCCCTTTGCCTTCTCCTCCTGAGTCCTCTCTTCCTGCGCTTGCCGACCCTGAGTCGGACTCTCTTCGTGCTGCCAGTCCTACTGTCACGCGTCTGCTTGCTACTGTCGTCACTGACCCCTCGTTTGAGTCCACTGCTGCGTCTGCTCTTGTCGCTGAGCTCGTCGACTTTGCTGCTCGCTGTCGTCTAGACTACGCTGCTAGTCTTGTTGCTGAGTCTGCGTCTGTCTGTCCTCCGTCCGTCGGGGGTGAGTGTGCTCTTGGCAGGGACGTCCTAGAGGACAGGCAGGAGGAGTTACAGTGTCTGGCTGCTGCTTCACCTCATCTCGCGTCTGTACTGCTTGCCCCTGAGGGAGACCCGGATGCACTAGACATCCCGACTCCGCGCTCTTACGCGGAGGCCGTAGAGGGTCCCTACTCCTCTCAGTGGCAGGCAGCTATGGATGCAGAGATGGCTTCCTGGAAGTCCACAGGCACCTACGTTGACGCAGTTCCCCCTCCAGGGGCGAACATCGTCAGTGGCATGTGGATCTTCCGGGTGAAGCGGCCGCCGGGCTCTCCACCTGTCTTCAAAGCGCGGTACGTTGCTCGTGGCTTCAGCCAGCGGCAGGGAGTTGACTACTTTCAGACCTTCTCTTCCACCCCGAAGATGACCACTCTTCGGGTGCTGCTGCACATAGCCGCTCAGCGCGACTACGAGCTTCACTCTCTCGACTTCAGCACTGCGTTCCTGCAGGGTAGCCTGCACGAGGAGATCTCGCTGCGCCGTCCACCTGGCTTCACTGGGACTTTCCCTCCTGGCACCCAGTGGAGCCTCCGACGGCCAGTCTACGGTCTCCGCCAGGCACCGCGTGAGTGGCACGACACACTGAGGACTACGCTTGCGGCTCTTGGGTTTGCTCCGTCTACTGCTGACCCGTCGCTGTTTCTGCGCACCGACACTTCACTGCCGCCGTTCTACATCCTCGTGTACGTCGACGACTTGGTCTTTGCCACAGCGGACACTGCTGGACTCGCCTACGTGAAGTCCGAGCTACTGAAGAGACACACGTGCACAGACCTGGGTGAACTGCGCAGCTACCTTGGCTTGCAGATCACTCGGGACAGAGCACGCCGCACCATCACCTTGACTCAATCACACATGGTGCAGCAGGTCCTTCAGCGCTTCGGCTTCACGTACTCCTCGCCTCAGGCCACTCCTCTGTCTACTCGCCACTCACTCTCAGCTCTGCCTTCGGATGAGTCCGTAGAGTCGAGTGGCCCGTACCCATAACTTGTTGGCTGCCTCATGTACCTGATGACCTGCACTCGACCTGACCTTGCATACCCTCTGAGCATTCTTGCACGCTATGTTGCTACTGGGAGACACCGATCAGAGCACATGGCTGCAGCGAAGAGGGTATTGCGCTACCTGTGCAGTACATCGGGCATGGGGCTAGTGCTTGGAGGGCGGAGTCCAGTGGTCCTTACAGGCCACGCGGACGCTTCTTGGGCTGACGACCAGGCTACGCAGCGGTCGTCACAGGGTTACACCTTCAGTCTTGGTTCTGGCTCTGTCTCGTGGCGGTCTACTCGTTCGTCTTCGGTTCTCAGCTCCAGTTGTGATGCTGAGATCTACGCCGGGGCCATGGCTGCACAGGAGCTTCGCTGGCTCACCTACGTGCTGACTGACCTTGGAGAGCCGCCTCGTTCTCCTCCAGTGCTGTATGTAGACAACAAGGCCATGCTGGCCTTGTGCCGAGAGCAGCGCTTGGAGCACAGAACGAAGCACATTGCTCTCCGCTACTTCCTTGCTCGTGAGCTGCAGCAGCGTGGTCAGTTGCGACTTGCGTACGTGGCCTCTGAGGCCAACACTGCTGATGTGTTCACCAAGGCACTCGCGCCTTGTGACCATCAGCGCTTCTGCACCCAGCTGGGTCTTGTGCCTGTCTTGCCTCACTTGCTCTCTTCTTGACTTTACTTGTTCTGTGACATATATATACCTGCTCCTGCTTGTCTAGTTATATATATATGTCTGTACTCCTGCATGTGAACTGGCCTCTGGCCCTGCTCTTGTGCTCGGACTGTGTGGTGACTTTGTTATCCACCCTGAGCTTGCTTTGCTTTGCTTTGCTTGACTGGTCTTGTGACCCCTTGTTCTCCCCCACTTAGCCTATGGGGGTGTGTCAGATTATTATAGCTGATGCATGTTTGTAGGCTATAGTGGGGTAGCACATATGGGGTACAGCTTTCTAGGGTTGTATTTGTACCCAACTCTGACTTAGTCATTTCATTCCTGGTCATTTATTTCACACAGAATGCAATATCGCGGAAGTGATTACAACTACTGAGCAAACATCGGGGCCTAGGCATAATATAGCAAGACTAGCTAAGCCCGAGGTCGCGAAGTCGTGCGAGGGTTGGGTGTAGGTTTGGGTTTGGAAAACCCGAAGGCGACGCGGAGGACGTTCGGGAGGCGAGGTCGTCGGACCGAGCCTGAACTCCGAAAAGTTGGAAATGTACGCGTAAGCGGTGCCTTAGTAAGGAATTAGCAAAATTCCTTACACTAATACAGTTCCGTACAATAAAAAAAAAACTATTACAGCACAATGCCTACACTATGTATAGCACAAAAATAAGCCTTAATATCGCAGGTCGCATGTGCGTCAGCGACCTCCACTAGCTGCGGATCGAGGCCTTCCTCTTTGCTTCCTCATGGCGACATTCTCCACCGCCTCGTGAATGGTTGCAAGCCACAATTGCAGCTGCTTGTTCCGCAAAAGGGAAGATGGCACGTGCACGAAAATCAGCATGCATCAGAATAAGCTCTGTGCACAAGTGCATGTGCACTGTATCCTGTTAAAAATACATCACCCCTCCCCCAACCCCATTCCTGACCCCCCAAAGCAGCACATTCCCCCGGGCCGTGGCAGCACGGGGCGGGTGGGTGCTCACCTTGACGCGGCTGCGAGTGGCACATTCGAGGCGCAGCCCGTACCCCGTGGTGAGGTGGAACACCAGCCAGTCCTCTGCCTCCTCCCCCGCCTCCCCCCCCTGCCTCCAGTGTCCCTGCTGCCGCCACACTGTCCAACGGGATGCTCACCTCGGGGTCCAGGTCTGGAGGAGGGGGTAGGGGAGAATGAGGTAGTGGGGTGGGGAGGGAGGGGAGTGGAAAGGGCAGGAAAGGGAGAAAAAGAGCGAAGGAGGGAGAAAGGGAGGAGGAGGAAATCAAGTTTCAGAGGCGGTGTTGGGCAGAATCATAGGGAAGGAATCCCGTGTAGATACACCTGGTGCGTGTCAGAACGTGGAGAGGTGACAGAGTGGCACACCTGAGGCCTGGCGGTAGCAGGAAACCTCATTGGCGGAGAGAGCAACGAAGTGTGGCAGCCACTCATCCTCTGCTTCAGGGTCGTCCACTGGCAGGGGCCCCTCGCCCCCCATGGGCGCCCACCGCTGCTCAAGGCAGGGGGAGTGGGTAGGGGGATGATGGGGAAAGGTGCACGGTCGGTTGGGGCTTTGATGGACCTCAGAACCTGAGAGTTGGGGACAGTGGGGATGTCAGGGTTGCAGGCATGGGTGGTTGCACTCACTCACATGCACTCGTTCACTTGCATGCACTCGTTCACTTGCATGCACTCGTTCACTTGCATGCACTCATTCACTTGCATGCACTCGTTCACTTGCATGCATTCACAAAGCAGCCGGCAGGTAAGGTGAGACCCACATGCATACCTGGCGTGTGTGAAGGTACTCGACAAGCAGCGATCGCTTGAGCATGGCATCCAGATGTGACAGCCTGGTGTGCGCCGTGCGGTGCAGCGGTGAAACAGGGATGGGAGAGAGGAAAGAAGAGAGAGGTTTGAATGGGACACGTGGTGCAGGTGTGAATGTTGACATGGTGATTCATCACTGTTGAAGCAGAAGCAGGGAGAAGGAGGGGAGGGGCCCAGCAAAGCACATGCACTGTCACATGCACCCTCACATGCAGTCACATGCAAGGTCACAGAGTGTCAAACATGTGCCTGGCTGGCAGAGCAGGCAGAGCAGGCATTCCAGCAGGCACACACACGGCACTCACTTGGCTTTGGCTGTCTGCTCTCTCTCCTCCGCTGCTGCCACCTCGTCCCTTGCCTCCACCGCCTGCCACAGCACCACGGCACCGCACGGCACACGCAACATGCAATCAGAGCACACAATCAAAACAGGAGAAAATAGAGTTACCCCTATTACATATTCCCTACCCCCCCTCCCCTCTCCCACCCCCACCTCCCCCTTTTGCCGTCCATTGTGTGTCATACTACCCACCTCGGCACTGGCGGGGCTGTCCTTGGTAGCGCCACTGCTCCACCCAAACAGCCACCCGCCGCCCCCGCCACTGCTCACTGCCCCCTTCTTCTGCCCCCCCGCACCACCGCTGCCGGCAGCAGCAGTGGCAGGACGGGCGGGGACAGGGTTGAGTATGCGAGAGTCCGTGGAGTGGGGTGTGTCGGCTGGAGTTGTGGCTCTGGGGGGAGAGAGAGGGGGAGCGATGGAAGAACGAGGAAGGGGAGACGGGGGGGTCATGAGCTGTGAGTGCCGACATGTTGGCTACGAGAGGAGGGCTGAGTAGTGTGATGCGAACTGGAGAGCACGGGCAGGAAGCAATGCAAAGATCGTGTGGGTTATGTGAGTTGTGTAGTGCACATGTGCGTGTGGCGACTGTGAGAGAGCAGTGGTCATAGTGTAGCGAGTGCCAGATGTGAGCACTGGATAACTGGTGTGCAGCGCGGTGCCGCCACACCACGCACCGCGAGCTGGCAGAGGAGAAGCCGTCCAGATGCAGAGCACGGAACTGCCGCGGCGGCACCAGCTTCGCCTGCTGCTGCTGCTGCCCTGCCTGTCCAGGCCTGAGCTGCTGCAAGTCCATCCCAGTGACCCCCACTGCTGTGGCGGGCCGTGCGGCGAGCTCTGGTGCAGCCTGGCCTGCTGCATGTGCCGCCACGACACGCCGGCGCTCCACCTGACTTGCCATCTTCCCCCCATCCATCCGGGCACCCACGGGGAGCGATGGGCGGAGTGATGGGCGGAGTTATGGGCGGAGTGATGGACGGAGTGATGGGCGGAGTGATGGGCGGAGTTATGGGCGGAGTGATGGGCGGAGTGATGGACGGAGCGATGGGCAGAGCGATGGGCGGGCGAGGGTGTCAGGGAATGTGGAGGCGAGGGGGAGGTGCATGTGAGGGGATGCAAAAGGGCAGGGCGGGGAAAGGCAGAGGGGAGGCGCAGGGTGAGGCACAGGACGAGGTGCAGCCAGGGAAACACAGGTGCAAGCACAGGGGTGGTTGTGTTGAGACAGGTCATTGCAGAGGGCAAATGGAAGCTGCTGCACGGTATGTGGCATGTGCGAGACACACACATGCACGCATAGCATGTGCAAGACACACACATGCACGCATGGCATGTGCGTGACACACACATGCACGCATGGCATGTGTGCTGTGCTCACCTCGAACGCCACCAGGTCAGCAGGGCGCATGTTGGCCAATGCAGGGTGGCCACGTGTCATGCCCACCAGTGTGATCCCCTCCACCCCCGCCTTCTCAAAATCAGCGGCATAGTCTGCCATGGGCCATGCAGGCAGCACAGTGGGGAGTGATACAGTGCAGCATAGAGGGAAATGAATAAAGGCACAGGAGGTCGCAGGGGATAAGAGGAGGCAGCAAGAGGGTGTGGAGGGCAGGCGAGCAGAGCAGGAGATGGGAGCACGCACGGGAGGCGGGGGCGGAGCGGAAGGGCACGGAGGAGCGCAGCCAGTGCAGCACATCGCTGGACGACCACTGCAGCAGCGATGCCGGCGCTGCACGCACAGCCGAGGCAGGCGGTGCAGCCGCTGCCCCGCCACTTGCTCCGGGTGCTTCCGCCCCAGGGGCCTTGGCATCCAAGGGGGTGGACTCCTGAGGTGCGCTGCTTGCACCGCTCGCTGCAGCAGTGCGGGGATCTCCGCCCCCACCAGCAGCGCCCATGGAAGCGGCGAGGCTGCGCTTCACCTCGTCCAGCGCCTGGCCCCTGCTGGGGGAAGTGGCGTCCCCTGGCGATGCCGCAGCTGCGGCACCGGCAGCAGCAGGGTCGGCAGTTGCAGCAGGTTCGGCAGCGGTATCAGGGGCGGCTGCAGCGGCAGAGGCAGGGACGGCGGTGGGCTCGCCGTCAGTCCAGAGCAGGCGCTGAATCGCCTCCGCTGATACCCCTTTGCCTGCCCCCCCTGCTGCTGCCTCCGCTGCCTCCTTGTGCCCCCCCTCTCCCTTCCCCTCGCCACGCTGCTCCACAGCAGGGGCAGCGGGGGCAGGGGGGGTGGGAGCGAGGCCCATGCGGTGCGAGATGGAGGCGAGGAGTGTGAGAGGGGAGGCTGTAGCCGGGGCAGGCAGGGGCGAGACGGCAGGCAGGGGCGAGACGGTGGTGGTGGTGGAGTCTAGAACACTGCACGGGGTGGGGTATGTATGGGGGATTGGGTAGTGGGGAATCGACAGTGGAAGTGGGAGGACGGAGAGAGGCAATGGGGTGAGAGACGTCAGAGGATGAGTGCAAGGAAACGAGAAGCCGAGATGGCAGAGGAAGAAATGGGTAGAGCAGGAAGCAAGCAGCAGGGAGTGTGTGAGGAGAGGAGCGGCCCACCTCTCGCCCTTCTCCCACGCGGCCAGCAGGTCGTGCAGCTGCACGCTCTTCACTTGGCCCTTGACGTGCGCTGAGGGGGATTCCAGCAGCAGCCCCGCCCCCAGCTCCTCATACAGCTCCTCCCTCCGCCTCTGCTCCCCCTCCACCCTCTCTTGCTCCTCCCTCTCCCGAGCCTCTCTTTCCTGCTCCTCCCTTTCTCGGTCCTCCACACTCACCCCGCCAACCTGCCCTCCCCGTAACTGCCCCCCACCCCTTCTTTCCTCCATGGCGTGCCTACCTCCTCCCAGCATGCCCAAGCCCTCAGAGTCCCAATCCCCTTCGCCCTCCGTCTCCAATTCCGCCCCTCTGTCCGCAATCACCAGCACATCCGCGCTCTCCCTGCCCCCCCTGGCGCGCCCAGGCTGCGCCCAGGGGGAGGGGGAGAAGGGCTGGGGGGAAACGAGCGCGGATGCGGGGGACTGAAGCGGGGATGGTCGTTTCCAAGAAGGTTCGGATGTAAGAGAGGGGGAAGGTTGCGCGGAGGAGGGGTGAGAGGGAGAGGGGTGGGAGGGGGAGGGCTGAGAGGGGAAGTTCATCTTAGCCAGCAGGTCAAGAGACAGCCCTATCTTGTTGCCCGGCCCTGCTGTTCCCCCCCGCATGCTCCCACCACTGCCACCCCTGCTGCCCTCCCCCTGCTGCTGCTGTTGCTGCTGCTGCTGTTTCTGCCTCGCGTCTGCCCTGGGAGGCAGCCCCAGCGGCACTCTACCGCCCATCCCGCCTCCCCCTCCCGTTCCCCCCACGCCCCCGCCACTCCCCGCGAGATCCAAATGCTGTGGCCCCGCCGCTGCTGCTCTGTCCGCAGCTGCCCACGCGCCTGCTGCAGCGCCCCTGCCCTTGCGCGCGCCCCTCTCCTCGTCCAGAGAGACTGACAGATGGCGGTACCTCTGCAGCACCCGCACCCGGTCGCCTGCCCCCCTGCTGCTCTCACCAGTGCTGGTGGTCACGGCGCTGCTGCTGCTGCTCCTGGCAGCACCAGCAAAGGCGGAATAACTGTTGGTAGTACTGCTGCTGATGGTGGCACTGCTGTCTGCACCTCCCTCCACGCTCAGCCCACTCACCTGCGCCCTGGTGGCGCGCTCATGCGAGGCAGAGAGAGTGACGCTGCGCTGAAACAAGTCCCCGCTGCCACCACTACCCCGCAACCTGCCCCCCATGCCAACCCCGCCAATACTAATGCTCCCACTCCCACCAGCACCCCCGGTGCCGCTGCCTTGTGTGCTGGCAGCACCGGAAATGGAGTTGAAGCGGGGGAAGGCGGAGGAGGCTACGCGGCCCCCGCTGGAGTGCGGGCGGTGGTCCTGCAGCACAGCAACGCGCAGGCGAGGGCGCGCGCCGAATATGTCCTCCTCTAGTGAGGAGGGCGGGCGCGCGTGGCTCAAACGGTCGGAGAGAGTGGAGGGGCCGGCACTGGAGGGGCGTGGGATGGATGAGTCGAAGGATGAGGGGGGTGGCGCTGAGCTGGTACTGCTGCCGTCGCTGCTGTTGGCAGTGGCGGCAGCAGGGGTAGCAGCGGAGGAGGAAGGGGAGGAGGAGAGGATGGAGTTGGGGGAGGGTGCTTGCTCCGCAGTCAAGACTGAGGGGCCTGCCTTAGCACTTGACGCGTGTGTGTGGCTGTCAGCAGGCGCGCCAGCAGGGGACTCGGCTCCGTCATACCCCTGTGCGCCGTCCACACTGCCACCTGCTTCACCGTCGCCCTCGCTGCCTGTGCTCTCCGCATACCCCTCATCCACTGCACGCTGTGCACGTTCCATGCGGACAGGCAAGGAGAGAAGGATGAAGGGATGCACATCCTGAAAAGCTGAGATTCTTTAAGTGGGGTCCCGGAATTAGAGAGCGGGATTGGCGGTTGAACATGACTGAGAGAGTGGCTGTGGTACTTTGAGGGTGTTTTCAGAAATTCAGCCCCAGTCAACAGCAGTCATGCCCTGTCCACGTCAGCAGCTTACCTCGTAGCACAGTTCACAGACCTTGGCCTTCACCCCTCCCGCCTCAATCTGCAGTCAAATGGAGTCAACGGGGTCAAGTTAAGTGATCCTGGACGGGTGACAACAGGTGATCACAGCATAATTGACCTTAAAGAGCGTGACCGTACTCCACGTGGCAGTCCTGTTGCCCAGGTGCCACGTGTCAGCGTCTCACCATGGCGCTGAGCGGGTTGAGCGGCAGCACGTAGCCGGTGCACTTGCTGCAGTACACGTTGCCGCAGCACCGACAGTGGTGCCTGCGCGCCGAGCCCCATGCACCACGCACGCACCATGCAACAAGCAACACGCAGCACGCAGCAAGAGTAAGCAGCACGCAACGCATCGAGCACCAATCACGGAGCGTCAAGCGTCAAAGAGGAGGAGCGACGGCTGCTCGAAATCACGAGGGAATGACGGAGCGGAACGGGTCGGAATGAGGCCTGGCATGACTGCGAGTGATCCATCTCCGCCGCACGCCAGGTCTTACTTGCGGCGGCGCTGCGTGAACTCCTTTCCGCACGCGGGATTGGTGCAGCGCTTGAACGCCTCCTCCGGCATCCAATGGCTGCGCGACACCTCGCTGCCCGGCCCCGGCGAATCCACCCACTCGTCCGGCTCCGGCGGCGGCGACGCGACGGAATCCGCCTCGGGACTCCACATCGCGACGGATTAGCTGCTATGAAATGAAGTAATTACTTGCGTGGTCTTAACTTCATTCGGAAGGAAAGTCAGGCGTTCATGCGCGGGAGAGATCGCGCGACCAGAGTAGGAGGCAAATGCAATGTGTGTGGAGCACACGCGACCATGAAGGCCGAACGTCGCTGTAATCGGAGTGACGCCAGGCCGCCAATAATAAGACCAGACCTGTGATATTCTTCCCGTGTGATGTGATGCTCCGCCTGAGAAATGTTGGGACTCGGTCTTTGGGGATGATGATGGATGGATGGCTGCTGCTGGCTCTGCTCTGCGCGGCGTTGGTTCATTTGTTTCAGATTGGGCTCGGCGCTACAGTGCTCGCCCGTTTCCAGTCGACAGTCCCAAGGTCGCTGTTGGCGGGTGCGGCCGAACTGGCCTGCGGCCCTGCGCTTGGAACTTTGTCCGCGCTTGAGTGCCTGGTTCGTACGAAACGGCCACCTTGTTATAAATGTTCCACGCAGGATCGAGTAGGAAAAATCCACAAACGGATGCTGATACTAGGAAGCAAAACGTATTCAATAAGCAATGAGGAAGGAAGGGAATTCTGTCATAGCTCTGGTGCTTTCCAGAGCTTCAACTTCTTGTCTGCACTCGCTGTGGCAAGTATGTGCACTGGCTTCGATCCTCCTGCTGCAAGAAGCACACCAAATGGAAAACGAAAAGATTATGGTGTGAACAGCCATGAGAGCTGCACAGCTAAAGAAAAAAGGAAATAGAACAACTCTCACCAATGGGAACTGGCTTGGGTGACCACGCCATCCACGTAATCACATCTGCATACACCAAAGCACAGGAACACAACCACAACAGTGAGGATGGTGAGAGGAGCAGAACCTTACACCCAGGTAAGCCATGGTACGGTAACCCTATGAACAACCAGCTCACCGGTGTGAGCCTGCTCGTCCGCCGTGACGATGCTGCCTCCCTCCAGCTCATACCACAGCAGCGCCGCCCCCACGGCCACAGCCAGCAAGCGGCCGTCAGGGCTGACAGCTATTCTGTCCAGCAGCGGCAGTGCTGGGGCTGCGGGCTTCTTGCCCTTCTTGCCTACGGGGGCAGCTGCTGCTGCATCGGCTGCGGCTACGGCCTCTGGCGTGGTAGTGGAGGGCAGCGGCAGGATGGGGAAGGTGCGGCGGCACTTGGGGTCCTCGTCCAGGTGGTAGCGCACTGGGGGGGGTTGGTGGGGGAGATGGGGGGAAGTGGGAGGGGATTGACAGGGCAGAGAGAGAAGTGGGGAGGAATATTGGGGGTTGTGGAGATGAACAGGTGGAGGAGTACAAGGCAAAGGGTGAAGGGAGAGGATGGGATGGAGGAGGGTTGAGGGAGTGAGGGCATACCATCGATGTTCCAGATCTTGATGGTGCCATCCTTGGACGCCGTGACCATGCCCTTGCTGTCCCATGTGAACGCCAGCCATGTCACCGCACTCTGCATCACACATGCACATGCACCCATGGGTGGGCAGCGCAGGGTGTCAGAAGATCACTTATAAGGTGCACTGGGCATGTAAGCAGAGTGGTCGTACACTGATCCCGTCCAGGTTGGCTTGGCTCAGCTATAATGGCTGAGTGGGCAACAATAAAGCAAGTTGATTTCATTAAGGCAGGGTCAGTGGTATCTACATGATGGCGCAAATCGAATCTTACCTTGTGGCCCTTGAGCTGCATGACACGTGTCACGCTTTGAATGGCTCCATCTCGTCCGTACACGAGCTCCCATATCTGAAACACGCCGTGGCAACGTGCGAGTAACGAGCAAAATAGCCATGCAGGCAAACACCAGATCAGAACGACCCCTTGAGCATTTTGGAAGCAGGCATGAAAGACAGGGTGGTGTGGCCTACAATAATAACCATCCAGCAGTCCTTGGTGCAAACCAACAGCAGTGGCATGCACCCACCTTCACGTCTGCCGTAAATGCTGCAATAGCGAGGAACCTGCCATCAGGCGAGAGGGCGACCATGGTGTTGCACAGCTGGTTGGAGTCCACCTCGCCCACCACCTTGCCATCCGCCGCCCCCCACACCACCACGTCCGTTGCTGCGATGGGAGGATGGGGTTTGACACGGGAGCAGAATGAGAGGGCCGAGCAGTGAGGAGAGGAAAGGGAGGGGAGGGGAGCAGAGAGGTGGACATGCAAGCAACGGAGAGGTGGAGCAAGGAGGGGCGGACTTAGCAGCAGGATGTAAGATGCACAAGGCAGTGTGGCGGTAGTACCTTCTGATGACGTGGCGATGACAGCGGTGCCGTCACCCGACCCCTGGGAGGAGATGGCGGAGGTGATGGCGATGATGGCCTTGTTGCCGTGCGCGGGGCGGTGCTCCCACTTCACCTCCACGGGCGCCTGCTTACCCTCCTTGCGCGCCTCCTCCAACGCCCTGCCTGCTTGCCCCACCAGTCACGAGCCACAGGGAATGGGTGGAGGGGGAAGGGGGATAGACGGATTTCACAGGGCTCAACAATGCCAATTGTGCTGACTGGGGTGTTGTAGGAACGATGAACTTGAGGAAAACGGGGGTGGATGGAAGGACCTGTGGCGGGGCCGTAGAAGCGCATGCAGCTGCCGTAGGGGCTGGTGCCTGACACTGCCACCTCCATGGCCGACATGCCGAACGCCACCCCCACCGGATGCACTCCCGGCCCCGTGTTTATGCGTCGGAACCTGGGAAAGGGGGAGGCGGGGGGAGCGGAGGGCGGGTGGCCGGAGGGGGTGGGGGAGTTGTGGGGGAAAGGCGTAGGATTGAGGCGGGAGAGGGTGGTGGTCGTGTGTTCAGGTTAGGAAGAGTGATGGACGATGGAAGCAGAGCGGGGAAGCAAGTGAATAAGGCAGCAGAAATAATGTGGGCCAGGGGTGCATGGGGGGAACGTACTTGATGCTCTTGGCAGTGACGTCGTCAATGGTGTACACTCGCACCACTCCATCGCCACACGCTGCACATACACACACGCACGCACGCAAACATGCAAGCATGAATGCTTATGAAGCACAGTGAAGGTCTAAAATCATGCACGCGTACCAGCCAAGTGGGATGCAGCACGGATGCGTGAGCGTGTGATGTGTGTGCGACAACGACGTGTGGTGAGGAAAGGAAACAGCTAACAGCAGGTCAGCTGCAAGCGTCCATCTCAAGGCTGTCGCTGTGTCTCTGTTGTTCGTCCGCTAGCGTGCGTGCGGGAAAGAGAGTCGACCATCTCCAGGTGCGCAGGTAAGAGCGCACCAGTGGCGAGCGCGGAGCCATCGTGCGAGAAGCAGAGGCCCGTGACGGCGTCGCCGTGCTTCAGCGTGTTCACCTCCAGCGGGTGTCGCGGGCCCGCTGGCGCCTGCTCGCAGATTCACGAAGGATGGGAACGCAGGAGGCGAGACGCGGAAGAGTGAATACAGGAACTAATCGATGACGGGGAAGGTCGCTGAGCACGAGAGAACCAGCCAGTCCTTCCGAAGATCACAACTAATCAGCACAGAGGACAAACAGCCGTACAACCTTTTCAGAAAGCGGTCTCCGGCGAGGCGCCTGTTTCTGGCTCTGCGATTGCTTCTTCGCCTCTTTCTGCTCTTGATCTGTCGCCTTTGCCGTCGATTCAGACTTACGCGATAACAGTATCTGCAGAAGACTGAAAACTACGACGATCGCTACAGCTACCCAGACTCGAGGATCTTGGAGCAAATCCATGGCGGCAGATTCAGGATCGGTTTGAGTGGCGTGGAGGGGACAGACTGAAGCAGGAATTTGCAAGTGTTTCGTGGAGATTGGTGTTGACGGGGTGCTTGAGTTGTAACAATTGCGAACACCAGGACGTGGTTGACTCGCCTTCACTTCACCCACATGCGTTACACGAAAATGTGTCGCTTTCGCGCGCAATGGTCGTGGCTGACAAATGCCTGACGGACGACGGAAACCGTCAGCGTCGTGCTTTCAGCCGCAACCCCGACGCTGTCGCGTGGCGTGCTTCAGTTGGACCCAAACCAAAGCGGCCTTGAAATTGCCGAATCACCACAAAAAGCACCAGAATGAAGCAGCAGCAACACCACATCCGCGGCACGCTCTCGATTTGTTTCCTCCATGGCTCCGCCTCCAGCACCTCTTGTTGTCCATATCCAAGCGTCCAGATCGGCATCGTGCGTTATCTATATTAACGAGGCCCTAGTTTCCGAGCGCTAAGCTTTCAGGGTTGCTGGTTCGAGCGTTTGAGCCACCGCGAATTTCCGCGTTTTTACAGCATGTCGCTAGTAGACGTCCAGGCGTGCGAGTTAGCGCAACGGCTAGAGCAGCAATGGGGCGCGGCTCGGCAGCTCGCGTCAGACATCCAAACCGCTGTTGCCGGATTTCTCGCCGCGTCCGTCCAACCACCCTCCCTGGTCGATCTCGGTCGCCAGTCGCTCAAAGCCGTCGATCGCGACTGCGACGCGGCCTGTAACCGCGATGAAGAAAGCGACGAAAGGGACGATCGAAGGCACGATGATGGTGCGAGGTCACGGGAGGCGTTCATTGCGCGGCTATGTGGCTTTCGATGGCACGCGCAGGTTATCCGCCAGCAAAGCATTGTGCTGGCTGATGTCACCTTTCATCTCTGCGACGTCCTCGAAGCTTCGTGCTCCTTAACACCCGAGGAACTTTCTCGGCTGGCAGGCGCGGTGCCGGCGTCGCATCCTGACGAGGCTTCCTCGAACCTTCTATCTGAGCTCGACTCCCCTCCGCCGCTGCTCAGCAGCCCAGCCACAGACGCAGCAGCGGGACAGGCTTCGCATGGGGGGGACGCGGGTGCGCGCGAGACGGCATCAGGGCCGGAAGATGGCGGCTGGTCGCGGGATACGCGAGAAGGCGAGTGGGGCGAGCGGGACACGGGCGTGGTGGAGCAGGTCAGCGCGGAGCCGCATGAAACGGCGCAAGGCGAGGATGTGGCGGAGGAGCGGGGCGAGCTGGCAGCGTGGGGAGCGAAAGGGCAGCGCAAGAGGCGCACGCGGCGGCGGTTCTACCCGGATGAGCGCGACGAGCTGCGGAAGGCGCTGCTGGAGCACCTCACTCTGCTGCGCCTGGAGGAGGCGCGCGCGGAGTGGGCGGAGCGGGGGGAGAGCGAGTGGAGGGATGGCGCATGGGAGATGGAGGGGGACAGGGACACGGGTGGGGGAGAAGCGCATGTGGAGGAGAGGGAGGGGGAGGGCGGATGGGGGGAAGAGGAAGCGCTGATGGAGCAGGCAAGGGCTGCTGCAGAGGCTGCCCGCGCTGCTGCTAGGGTGAGGCGTGGGGGAGAGGGGGAATGGGAAGGAGGGATGGGAGGAGTAGCTGATTGGGTGGGAGAGGTGGGAGGCAGCCCACCGACCTTGCAACAGGGGTCGCCTCGCAGGGGGATAGGAGGAAGGGAAGTAAGGGGCAGAGAGAGCATGGTGAATGGGGGGATGAGTGCAGCCGTGAGTGTGGCTGAGGCTGTAGCTGACGTGGCACTGATGGTGGAGCAGGAGTTGGAGCGAGAGAGGAGGCGAGAGCAGGAGGCGGTGCTGCTGGGCGGGGTCACAAGCCCTCCTGGAGCGTGCCCAGCAGTGCCGGCCTCATGGCAGCAGCCTTGGTGGCTGTCGCCTGCTGCCCCACCTGCTGCTGCTGTCTTTTCTGCCTCTGCTGCTGGCTGGCATGCATCGACTGGCATGAACAGTGTCAAGGGGGATGGCGTGCCAATCAAGGGAGCAGCTGGGGCAGGTGGGGTCATGGAGAGACGAGCTGGGGGATTTGCAGAGTTCAGTGGGCGAAGTGGGGTAGGCTTTGCTGCGTTTGCTGGCAACGGGGCAGGTGGTGAGCAGCAGGGTGATGGCAATGCAGCTGGCAGACAGCAGGCAGGCGCAGGTGAAGAGGTCATTGTGGACACCAAGGGGAACGCAGGCAATTCACGGCCAGGTTTCAAGATTGACAATCCTATACATGCTGGAAAGCCATTATCTCCACTTTTCACACTAATGAGAAGGTAGTGCCCACTGGTGCAGCACTGCTGGCTGGCATCTGCACACAAGCCTCATCTGTACTATAAGTGCAAGGAACAGACCCTAGATAGACTTTAGATGCACGAATAGCACCTGTAGGCAGGTACAACCACCAATTCCACATTGATTTATTGAACTTCATTAATTATATAACACCCTCATCAAGAGGGACGGTGGTGATGTCAACTCTGCAACACAAGGCAATGTGGCAAGGAATGTAAGAGCTACTATGCCAAAGCTAGATTCTAACAACTGGATGGGTCACTGCGCTGCTCCCGTGTATGCTCACGTGGGCACGTCAAATGTGTGCTCACATGTGCATGCGACGTGCTATCTCAAGACAAGGGGATGCTGCATGCTTGGGCGAGGCTCAGAGGAACTTGGCGAGGTTGTCTTTGAGGTCCTCGATCTTGGCGCCCGTGTGGCTGTGCACCAACTCGCCTCCGCGGAAGAAACGGAAGTTGGGCACCGCCCGCACGCCCCACTCGCGCATCAGCGCCTGCTCGGGAAAAAAGGGGTTACAAATGGTTGCATTCAGGGGAAAGTGCAGGGAAACACAATTCCAGTCGCATTGGAGCCAATGAAAGGGAACAGAGAGCGACTACTAGCTGCATCTGGGGAGAATGAGAAACCAAAGTGTTCAGAGACTGACACAGGGAATACAGGAAACAGGTTGAGAAGGAAAAGAGGTGGTTGAGAGGAGGTGGTTAAGGAAGGACCTTGGTGCCGTCGTCGTGGTCGCCGTTGATCTTGAGGAAGACGGCGTTGGGGTGCTCGAGGCTGAGCTCCACCACCTTGGGGAAGATGAACTTGCACGGCCCGCACGTCCGCGTCGAGATGTCCAGCACCACCTGCGCGCCAAGCCGCGACGGGTTTACCATGGAATGGGGCCATTGGATAACCAGGATACGTCATATACTGGTTCGAGGTTTGTGCGCGATGCAGCTTTTGACTCTATAAAACGAGGGAATGTGTATTTTGGGTTCTTCAGCGCGCCGAATGTGATGCTAAACAAAGTGGATAACTGCCGGTTGTAATCCCCGTGGTGTCAATGCAATGATGCCAATGCGTGTGTCTTCTAAGTGGGTAAAATGTCTCAAGTCACGTCAAACGCAACTCCAGAAGCACGAGGCAGAAACTACTCACCAGCTTATCGCCAGCCTTGGCAACTTGATCGTTGAACTCCTCTCCTGCTCAAACAAGCGTTATCACAACGTCAGCGAGAACTGTTCACGCCTTAAGTCACGGCAAGCAACGACGTCAGCAACTCACGGCTCGTGATTTCAACGACGTTGCCATATCCATTGGGCCCGAGCCGCTCGAGATCGGCCGCTGAGAGCGACGCGGAGCAGCGCAACGTTTGACGGCGAGCAATGCGCGGAAACGACGCCGGGGCGACCAGTCTGACTGTCCTCCGCATGGGAAGGGCGGCGCGGCTCTGTGCTAGTTGAGGAGCCGCGACCAGCGAGCTGCGGATTGCCAAAGCATCCATGTCTGCTCTGATTTGACGAGGCGAGGCGGAGCAGTGGTGGATTGCTAGAAGCAAATTGCGTCGAACTAGCTATTGTGCTGGTGAATGGAAGAATAATGGGCTGCCGTGGCTTACCAAATGGCTGGTTGCTCTGGTGCTGCTGTGGTGAATGTGACGTCCAATTGCGCGACGTACAATCCCCCGATGGTAACGCGTAATAGTTCGCGACGAAGAATGTGGCGGTGGAATTGTGTGGAAGTTGAGGGCTCGTGATCCGTCAGCGACAGGATTAACGAAGATTGCGAAGGATGACCTGTCCACACTGTTTCCACCAACCAGCTGCTTGGCAGAATTCCACGTGGCGGGCAGAGCCCAAGGACAAACACGGAGCACAAACCACGAGACGACCAGCTGGAACATGAGGTTCCACGGAATATTGATATTGTACAGTTACAACGCTCTAATGAGCTGTGTTCTAAGCACGTGAAACTCATTTCACAGAAATCATATACGAAATTACATTTCAGCTTCTATAAGCTCTTCAATGGCACTTCCAAATCCAGGAAGCATCAAACCGCAACCTCCAGGAATAGTGTCTAGTGTCTCAGTAACCACCTCGTGACCTTGCCTTCTGCATACGTCACCATGCCCTATCACCTTACCGCAGGCATTCGAATCAATACTTGCATCCTCCTTTGAGCAGTCCACATTGGAAGATTCCTGGCATTGGCGTATGTTCAGGCAAGAGAGTTCTCCATGGCAGGAAACAATCCAGAGTTTCGACTGGGGAGCTCCATGTGGAACTTGCAACGACCGTGACTCGTCGTTGTAACGCTCAGACCGATGGCCAACATTAGGCTCTGAGAGGTATGGAGGGATCCATGTGCCACAATAAGAGTCCAAGCCTTCACTTCCTGCAGCACAAGCGCATCGCTGCGGCAGCACACTCACAGTGCACCCATTCCCTCCTGATCTCTCCGCTCCTGCACTTCCACCAGAATCAGTGTCAAATGTAGATTCCTCCCTGCGTGCCCACTGTGCAAAGCTGATAGCAGCAGCGGTACTTGCAAATGCACGTCTGCTCACAGCAGCAGTGAGTGCAGCACCCACCCCCTCCAATGCCCCCACAACGCCTGCAGCACCCGTACGGCCCACTGTCGGCCCCCATAGGCTGAGCATGCTGCCTCTGATGCGCATGCAGGGAGCAAGCGTGGGAGCAGCCAGGGGTGCTTCCAGGGAAAGACCCAGGAGGCACGGTATGGAGAGAGGGCAGCGGGCTGGCTGGTTGAAGGAGCGTGGCAGTGAGCGGTGAGGTGTGGGGGGCTGGTGAGCCATGGGATTGAAACAAGGTCAGGTGAGAGAGGAGCCGACAATGGGTGGGGAGAAGGTGCGTTACTGGTGGGAGAAAGAGGAGGGGAGGGGAGGTGGAGAGAGGACGTGGGGGAGGAGGCCTGGCCGTCTGGCTGCTTCAAAGTGGGCGAGAGGGGCGAGGCGAAGGGGTGGATGGGGAAGAGGTGCGAGGTGCCGTGGGTGGAGAGCAGGGCGAGCAGTGAGCAGTCAGGGGGAGAAGGCAATGGCTCGAGGGACCTGCTCCGTGCAGGGGGGCAGGGGAGACGGACAGGGACGACCAAGGGCACTCAATGAGCAACAACAGACAGGTTCAAGTCGTAAGGGCCATTTTTCATTGCAAGATTTTGCCGCTACACCATGTCGTCAGTATGAAATCTCGTCCCATCGCCCCAGCAGTTCCAAAACCCAGTATGACTCACCGAATGTGTGAGCCCACGCTGCAGCCGGTACAGCAGCACTGCTCCCCCCTCCCCTGCAAGCGACCCATCCCCCCACTGTTGCTGCTGCTGTTGCTGCTGCTGCCACCCCCTGGGGCGGCCGTCAATGCGCCACACGCCCACCGTGGTGCCGTGCAGGGAGGCCGCCTGCCAGCAGCACGCCCAGCGGGTCGAATTGCAACACTGCGAGGGGTGATGCTTCGAGGGCAGGGAAGCACGCGATTGGCTGGCGGGAAACAAGATCATGCACCATGATGTGCGGGTGAGAGGGAGCGAGCATTGGGGCGGGGACGAAGCGGGGAGAGCGTGGAGTGGAGGAGGTTGGGGGAGCGTGATGGCAAGGAGGGAGTGTGTGGGGCAGCGTAGGCCAGCCAGCGCGGGCCCAGAGCTAGAGGAATGGAGGTGGGCGGGAGACTGTTGGCGTCTGCAGTTGAGGCGGACGTGGAGGGGTGCGAAGATTCCGATGTGGAAAGGTTTTTGGAGTGCTCAGGTGAGGGGCGATCGGTGAGAGATGGTGGGAGGAGCGCGTGAGGGATGGGGTGTGTGAGGAGGGAGAAGGTGGGGGTGAGGGCGGTGGGGCTGTAGCAGAAGAGCTGCTCCCTCTGCACCACCACTATCGCCCTGCCACTCGCCCGCACGCCCACCACTGTTCCTTCCACTTCTATGCTGCCCACCATGGCGTGCTGTCGCAGTGAGTACAGCGCCACTCGTGTCACCCCCACCACTCGCGGATTCATACCGTCACTGCCTGGAGCACTCCCTGCCCTGCTCCCTCTGCTTGTGTGCGCCACTCCATTGCACCTCCCACACCCCCCTGCATCGCCCTCCTGCTCCCTTCTCTGCCCTGCTGCTTGTTCTTGCCTCCTTTCCACGCACTGGCGCTTCCCCTCTGACGCTTCTCCCCGCTCCTGGATTGCCTTCACATCTCTGCTCGCCCCCCTGTGAGTCCTCATCACCACCCCCCTGCAGCACCCGCTCCAAGTCGGAACCACCGCTGCCACTCACTTCTCCCCCCACCCCTCTGCAATACTCCCACTCGCACTCCCCTGGCATCCACCCCCCACCCTCCCCCCTCACCCCACCACGCCCTGCCTCGTCATCCGCGCTCTCCACTTCATCCCTCGTTGCCGCCTCTCTGCCGGAGTGCTCGCTGCACGCACATTCAGGGGTGGAATGGTCGCTGGAAGCAGGGAAGACGACGCACACGAGGGGCCGGCACACTGCAAACCTGTCGCAGCCGTCGTTGCCATCCGTGTCGTGGTCGCCTGTGGATGGCATAGCCGTGGATTCTGGGGTGGTTGGCGGCGACTGCATGAGCGGATGCGGCACGGTGGGGTGTGGCACGGTGGGGTGTGCCACGGCGCACAGCATGGACACGAGCTCGCCACGCCACGACACAAGCTGAGAGGGCGACAGAACCGTAGCACTGCCACTGCCACCATCGCTGCTGTTTCTTCTGCGACTGTCTCCCTTGCCATTGGCGCTGTTTCCCTGGGGCGGGGAGGCAGGCGGGCAGGTCCCAAACGTGGAAGCCGGTGGTGTATGCGACGAGCAGCACGTGGCGCCGCGACGAGCGGCTCATGTGCAGCCAGTCGAAGCCCACCCACACCACCTGCCACACACCACCACAGAGGAACGACCGTCAGCATACCGTCAGCAAAGCAGTCACTGCAAACACAACAACGATTCGACTGACGGCCCGCAAACGACAATTTTTAAGTCTTCGAAATCCATCTATACGAGCCCCCCCTCCCGCGCCACGCACCTCCTCCTTGGCTTCAAATCTCGCCTTCACCGCTTTTGCTGCCTTGACGACCGTCGACACCGTCGCGCCGGCTAAACCCATCGCCGTCTCCATGGCCGCGCGCTCTTGATTTGCTAGCGGAAAGCAGCACGGTACTTGCCACTACCATCCCACATCGCTGCTCGCAAATTTGTTTGGACCTGGTTGCTATGACTTCCAAGTCCTGTCTTCCGCCTGCTTTCTCGCCCATCACCACCACCGCTCCACCACCCACGAATCTGCATGTCGCCACGCTCGCAGCACGCACGGAAAACCATGACGCTTTACTCTCTGCTCAGCCCTGCTGTTGTGAATCCTAGAATCATCCGTCGACATGCAGCAATACTCACTGTAAAATCCCTCGTAGTGGCTGTCGCTTGGGTGACAAGTGACTTCGCCGATCGAACTGGGCGATGGGTGACACGACTACTGCGACGGAATCGAGAACTGCGTCAGGCGAAACGCGTGCTGTGATTGGCTTGTGTTGCGACGCCCCTCGTGATAGCTCGCTCGCTCGCTGGTTGGTTTATTCTGTGCCGAAGTTGCGTCAACCGTACGCTTTCTGGAGCTGTGAATATTACATGAATACTGTACTCAGCAATATTCATTTCGCCATAACAAATAATGCACAATTTGTGAGGACACTAAGATTGCCTCTCACCCTCTCTAAGCTTAACTTGTTGGCTAGGGACCAGGGGATCTGGTCCTCTGAGCCGCCGGTCTCTAGGCTCTTGAAAATCAGGTGCAACCCCTAAGCCGGATGAAGTGGTTGAAGCGAAGGGCCATGATGGCGACAGTGCCACGACCTGGCCGATGACAATGAGCGTGGGTGACACGAGTTGGGCCGCTGACACGGCTGCTGGCAGATCCTCCAGCGTAGCAAACACCTGCAACCCACAAGGAAAAAGAACAAAGTTTGAAAGCGTATGGCAGAGCTCCCCTTCTGCATATGCATGTTATCCCTGCTCGTACCACCACTCATGCACACAACCACAGCCGCAATCATGCATGCCACCGAGCCACCACAACACGACTCACAGTGCGCTGAGCAGCGGTGGTGCCTCGCTCCACCGCCACAGCAGGAGTGTCAGCCGGCAGCCCATTGGCCAGCAGGCGGGCGGCAAGGCTGGGCAGCGTGGCGAGCCCCATGTAGACCACGAGGGTGGTGTCGGGGTCTGCGGCTGTGCTGGCGGCATACAGCGGGTCGCCGCCTCCCTTGCGCTTGTGGCCCGTTAGAAACCGTACACTGCAGCACAGGAGGCAAGGGGACGTGGGTAGGCCAGGTAGGCTTGAGGCGCGGGCGTGTGGAGGGCTGGGACCACTGCGGAGGTGGAGGCTGCAAGTGCAAGGAAGCGACGCGTGCATGCTGGAACAGCAGGAGCAGAGGGCGGGGGCATGAGAAGCAGAGCATGTGGGTGGGCACGGAACAGCCGCATCCCCAAGCTTAAACTGCTTACCTGTTGGCGACGCCGCGGTGGGTGAGAGGCACGCCAAGTTCAGCAGCGATGCCAGAGGCGGCGGTGATGCCGGGCACGATCTGCACGCGGATGCCGTGCGCCTGCAGGTGCTCCATCTCCTCGCCGCCCCGCCCGAACACCAGCGGGTCGCCGCCCTTGAGGCGCACCACCACGGCGCCCGCCTCCGCGAAGGCGAGCAGCAGGTGCAGGATCTCCGCCTGCGTGCGCGTGTGGTACCCCGCCGCCTTCCCCACGTACAGCAGCCGCGCGGACGGCGCGGCCAGGCGCAGGATGGCGGGGGAGACGAGGCGGTCGTAGAGCACGAGGTCCGCCGACTGCAGCGCGCGCACCGCCTTCACTGTAGGAGGGCGGGGGGCGTGAGGGGGCAGGGGGAGTGGGGGGAACGCATGAGTTGAAATGCGCGAGAGACCGGGAGTGGGACTGCGTATGGTGGATGAGTCGCGGCTGAGGATGCAGGGCAGCATGACAGCAGCGCGAGCGAAGCGGAGGGTAAAAGGGGTTGAGGGGCAGGGTAGGGAGGAGGGGTTGAGGAAGGGAGAGGGGAAGGAGGTGGGGGGAAGTGGGGGAAGGAAAGGGCGGGTGGGGAACTGACGAGTGAGGAGGTCGGGGTCGCCAGGCCCAGTCCCCACCAGAAACACATTCCCAGGGCCCTCGCTGCGGGGCCCCCCCTCCGCTTGCGCCCGCCCCTGCTGCTGCGCCGCTCCGCTCTGCGCCTTAGCTCGCAGCAGCTGCAGCATTTCGCGCAGCTCGGGAAGGACGATCCGCGATGTCCACCTCGGGAATGTCGTCCTCGTCGTCCTCGCCGGCCTCTGAAGCCAAGCTGAGTCGCTCGCTCCAACTCGATTCCCCTTCCGCAGTCCGCTCGGAATCTACAGCGAAGCAGGGCTCAGGGTTTACGTCTGATACGTCTGACGTCATCGCTGCGTCGGCGTCAGTGAGCAGCTGCAGCGCGCCGTCCACTCCGGGCAGCGCTCGAGATCGGCACTCGTCGGACGACGGCTCCTCCTCGCGGCGTGGCGCTCCTCCGCTGCCGCTCTCGGCGATCCGCCAGTCCCACGGCCGCGCGTCCCTCACCTCCACGAATGGCGACTCGGCGGCGGATTGCGCGCTGCCGATCAGCCATCGGTCGGGACGGGACGGGCCCGATGCGGCGGAGAGGTTGGGCTGGTGGGCGTGGGGCTGGCTGCAGGGACTATGCACGGCTCGAGCTGCCGCCGCTGATGCATTTGCGGATATTCCGCAAAAAGGTCTACTGCCGCGCGATGCGAAACGCGCTTCCCGGCGCGAGACGCTGTGACTGGCAAGAAAGGCATTGTAGCGCGATGTTCTAGTTGCGATCCCTACGGGATCGCTGCTCACGACAACGGCCATGGCTTCTGCAGAGACTAGCGCTCACTCAAAATGTCCTCCCGATCCAACAACCGCTGACGACTAGGATTGTAAGTGGTCAGAGCGTGCTTTGCCTACATGTGAAAAACAGGTAGCTTTTGTATCGCTGACTGATTTCTGGAGGTAATGCGTGACAAGCAAGCAAGCAAGGTGAGCATGCCTCCCTTGGCCTGCTGTTTGCCTCATCCCCCGTCCGTCCCTCCTGAACACCAGCGTGCATCGCTCGCCAAGGGACCCAGCCACACGCTCCCTGCTGTTCGCTCGTCTTCCTCTCATCAGCAGCACCGTCGTTTCTGATCACGGTTGGGATGGCTGTTGCCTGCGTGTAGCGGTAAAGCTGACGCTTTGTCGCTCGCGCGGGCAGAAAATATCGCCTGGCTTCTCCAAAAAGCATGTAGCCCTCCCGCAGGCTGGAAACAGCAGCCTTTCAGATGCCAACCGGTTGAGATCTGAATTTGGCGCCTGTAAATTAGCGCCACGTGGGACTGTTCCGTAAACTCCGCCCCGTTTCTGACATCCTTGATGACAGTAAAACTCATGTTTTACTGTATCTGTATTTATGAGTACATTCCTTCATGCTACCAAAGGTAAACGGACCATCAACAATGTGAAGACATCGTGTATCGAGTACTCCACGTGTCCCTAAAATTCCAGCTGTCAGTCCTCTGAGCGCCCTAAAGATTGGGCAACAATCGGTGTGATCACCTCGAGAGACCCTTTTTGCCTTGCCCTCGCTCGCTCGTGACATTCTCGAGAATTCGCCCTTCCGAGCTCATCTGTTGGCCTCACTGGGGGTCACTCATTGTAGTCTGGTGCTACGTCCAGCCCCATAATCACTCAACGAGCTCATTCTCTAAGTTCCTCCTCACTCCTCGTCCTCGCAATTGCGTGCTGTAGCAGCCACGGCCCGATTTTCGCTGACATTACTCGTTTTGAAGGTTCCCAATTCATCGAAAATAAATAATTTCTCACCAACAAATCGAGGCGTCAGCTATGGCCGCACTACTTCAGAGCATTGAGGTGCCTGCCGCGTCCTTGCGGGCACCGCAACCGCTCCGAAAAAATCAACGGCTCTCGTCACTCGGTAGCATCTCCCTTCAGTCTTCCAGATCACTCTCATCCTCACTGATCGTCAAATCCCACGTGTCCACAAAGAATTTTAGAAATTCCCGCCGAGTAGCGTGCCGGGCAGCAGCGGGCGAGAGCGGCGCGAAGAAAGCGAGTTTGAGCGAGCGGCGACCGGAGGAGGTGAATGTGGTGGTGGTGGGCCCCACGGGGTACATCGGAAAGTTCGTCACTCGCGAGCTCATCAAACGCGGCTACAACGTCACCGCAGGTGCGCGCGCACAATGATACACCAGATAATGCCGAAATCTGAGGAGCCTCAACAATCGCGCTTTATATTCGTCTCTCCCCCGTTGTCCGATCCTGACGTGTGCTCTGTGCCGCGTGCGGTGGTGGTCGCAGTGGCGCGCGAGCGGAGCGGCATTGGCGGGAAGAAGTCGGCGGAGGATACGGCGAAGGAGCTGGAGGGCGCGACGATGCTGTTCGCGGACGTGACGAGCGAGGATGCGCTCTCTAAAGCGCTGGCCGGCAAGAACGTCGACGTCGTCGTGTCGTGCCTCGCCAGCCGCACGGGCGGCATCAAGGTGAGACGCGGCGATGGCCGTACGGAGGGCCGCGAGAGGGATTGAAGCGAGAGGGAAAAGAATGGGATTCGGTGTGTGCACAGATGCCAAGTTGTGCGCAAAACATAGCATGAAAGGCAGCAAGTTATATCTTCATAAAGTGGAATGTTCTGGGTGGTGCGTGTGTGTGGCACGTGTTTGATGAGTGCAGGACTCGTGGCTGATCGACTACACGGCGACGAAGAACAGCCTGGAGGCCGGCAAGAAGGCGGGCGCCACCCACTTCGTGCTGCTCTCAGGTACGCTTGGCTGCCATGCCAGCTGCTGCTGCTTCCTGCTAATTCTCGTCTTGCAATCTCGTCGTCAAAATCCCTCATTGTCCCCGCGATCGTGTGTGCGACCGTGTATGCGATGCGACCGTGTGTGCGACCGTGTATGCGACCATGTATGCTCCCGTGTGTGCGCCCGTGTGTGCGCCCGTGTTGTGTGCGCGCAGCCATCTGCGTGCAGCGGCCGCTGCTGGAGTTTCAGCGCGCGAAGCTCAAGTTCGAGAAGGAGCTGCAGGAAGATTCGGCCGTCACGCACAGCATCGTGCGCCCCACCGCCTTCTTCAAGTCGCTCGGCGGCCAGGTGCGACGCGGTGGGATGCGGTGAGACGTAGGTCAGGTGTACCTGGTGAGATGATCACATCCCCAGATGATGCGAAAGGTCGCTGTAGCAGTAGTGAGGCATGGATGTGGGGGTGAGCCATGCCATGTGGGGGTGAGCCATGCCATGTGGGGGTGAGCCATGCCATGCAGGAGGGAGACATGCCATGCACAAGTGAGACATGCCATGCAGCAGCTGACCAATGGAATCACACGTCCTTGATAGTGCGGTTAATTGATGTCCGTACCCCTTGCTACATATGGGCGCGCGTGTGTGTCTGTGTGGTGTGTCTATGTGCGTGTGTGCTGGCAGGTGGAGAGTGTGAAGGGGGGCGGCCCATACGTCATGTTTGGAGACGGGCAGCTGTGTGCTTGCAAGCCCATCAGTGAGGCGGACCTCGCTGCCTTCATTGCCGACTGCGTGCAAGGTGAGCCACGGAGCTGCACGTATGCGGTCATGCCACTCACAACCTGCAAGTCCATAGGATGAACGCACACACAAGGAAAGCCAATTGACCCAAAAGATGCACCTGACGTATTCAAGAAAAGAAAAGCCTGGCATGAATGTAACCCTGCCTCGCCTCCCACCCCCTTCCACCACACACCCTTCCCTGTGACCCGACCACAGGCGAGGACAAGGTGAACAAGGTGCTGCCCATCGGGGGACCAGGGGAGGCGCTGACGCCGCTGCAGCAGGGGGAGATGCTATTTCAAGTGGTGGGCAAGGAGCCCAAGTTCATCAAGGTGCCCATCGGCGTCATGGACTTCGTCATCGGAATCCTTGACGTGCTCGCCAAGCCCTTCCCATCGCTGGCGGACGCCGCTGAGTTTGGCAAGATTGGGCGGTACTACGCGGCGGAGAGCATGCTCGTGTGGGACGAGCAGAAGCAGCGGTACGACGCGGATGCTACGCCGAGCTATGGTAGTGATACGCTGAGAGATTTCTTTGAGAAGGTGGTGCGTGATGGCATGGAGGGGCAGGAGCTGGGCGACCAGGCCGTGTTCAAATGATGAGGCCATGAGGCTGCACTGCATAGTGTGCGTGAATGATTATGTATTGCGCAATAATAACTGGGAAACCACTACCGTATCATGACTGCGTCCGAAGGTGTTTGCAAGGGATGAGGTGTGGAGTGCAGGTGACTGGCGCCGTTTCCCCAGAGGCCCGAATGTGGCTCAGTGGGGCTTGGTGCGTTACTGTATATTGATCGCTCTAGAGAAGTTTAGAATGGTTTGGTAGGGTAATTTGCAGAACACGTACTTATGGGACACCCCATTACCCTGGAGGAGAGGAAGGCTGGGAGCAGAGGAAGGTGGTCAGGAGTTTACACCTTGCAGCACACAGGGGGCAGGTGCTATAGGTGCGGGGCCTGATTCAGCATGTTGATTGGAGCTCAGCTGAAAACCAGCCCGCTCCCAAGTGTAGTGTTGCACCCACCATCGAAGCCATGACAGTCAGAGTGGAGCAAATCTGCTTGATTATATGAGATACAGTACAAATGGAATGTATACAACTAGCGGTTTTGACATGGCACCTACGTATCCTACGCTTCCTACTCAGATTAGGTAACTAGAGCCTGGTCCCAGCATCAGGCATGCTCCAGGGCTACTTCTACGTACATCCCTAAAGGTTATATGTCAATGCTCACCGCTTCCCCCATATCACATTATTGTTGACATGACAGCAGCATGGGGCAGGACCTTCCCCACAAACACATACGCCCCTCCGCCCAGCAGCAGAGCGCCACTGGCAGGGTTGATCCACCCCGAGTACCGACGGACGGCTGAGATCTGTTTGAGCGCGCCAGTGCACGAGGCTGCCAGCAGCAGCGGCGTTGCGAAGCCCATCGTGTAGCTCAGCAGCAGTGCACCGCCTGTCACCGCGTCCTGCAAGGGAGATGGAGCAAACAGAAGGGGGAGGGGGGACTAGTGAGGAGGACAACGGGCACAAAGAGGCAAGCAACAGATGGAGGGTGCTAGTGGGTGAAGCGGCCCGTGTGCTTTGTCTATGGCTTTCGTTCTTCCTCCGTTTGTCTGCTGTAAGCATCCGCAAGAGCCACCAACCCACCAGGGGGTCCGCGAGTTACACACATCAGCCCCCACACCCTCTGCCCCTCCCACCGACTCACCCTGGTGGAAGCGACGAAGGCGAGCAGCGAGGCGAGCACGGGCGTGCAGCACGGCGACGCCACGAACGCGAACGCCGCTCCGCCCGCCGCCATCTGCAGCGCCACGGGCACCCTCCCGCTCACCGCGGAGGGGCTGAATCGCGCCGCCACAGGCGCGGGCAGGCGAACGGGCAGCAGGCCGAGCAGGTGCAGCCCTGCCAGCATGGCCACCAGCGACACGGCGGCCGGCAGCGCGCCGCCCACGTCGCCCACAGCGTGCTGGCCGGCGAGCGCGGCGGCGACGCCCATGGCGGTGCGCGTGGCGGCGAGGCCGAGCGTGAAGAAAAAGCAGTTGACCGGCACGCTGGCGGCGCGCGCGGACGGCGCGTCGGGGAGTGGTGGGGGGGAGTCCTCGGCGGAGCAGCAACAGGGCGGGGGAGAGGAAAGAGAGGCGGATGCGGATTGGGGCGGCGAGGGGGCGGCCGGGGGGGAGTCGAATCCGGCAATGAAGCCTACGGTGAGAGGCAGCAGGCTGAGCGTGCACGGCGCGAAGCTCGTTAGCAGCCCTGCGACGTAGATGATCGCGAGAGTCGCGGGCGACAAGGCAGCAAGGTCGTGCGACTCCGCCAGGTGGCTTGCGAGGTAGAGAAACTCGTCCACGTTGTCTTGGAGAGCGAACGCAACGTCCTGCCACGTGTCAACTGCTGATTCGAAGTCGAAATTGGGGAAGAGGTTGAGAACGGTTGACAGGTCGGGCAGCGAGGCGAGGAAGAATTGACTCGATGATGACGTGGCAATCATGTGATCCGCGGCGAGCGAGTCAACCGCGTGTTGCGACTCGGAAATAAGGGCGGCAGCAGCTGCGGGTGACGTCATAATGAGAGGAAGCAGGGCGGCGGGCAGAAGGGGCACGGGAAGTGATCGGCGTGGCGTGTCTGCAGCTGTCGTGCGACTCGCGCCTGGAGAGCTCGAGCTACTAGCTTCAAGTCTCCGCGATTCATTTCCAGACGGCACATGCTGTCGCGGCTGTGCTGCAAGTGCGATGCTTGGCGAGCGGCGACTCGTGGCCTGAGAGCGTCGAGGCTGGATTCCGGCATGCTCTCGAGTGCGAGGGAGACTTGGTTGCGCAATGCGCGCTGCTTTGAGAACAGAAAGAACGGCCATGGACGTTAATTGTGTTTAATGTTACGAGAAAACGAGGCCTGAGGGGCTCGGATCAAGGCAGCTGCAAAGGTCTATGCGCTTGCATTGGGTTAGCATGAGTCACTACTCGGTTCTTATAAATACCTTAAGTGGGGGTTGAAAAGTCTGCGACTCGAGCGTTTGTTGGGAATCGAAGGTCATCCTCCCGTACGAACAAAACGTACGCAGGAGGTGGTCGGTCAATTTGAGGATTGTAGATCAACATCTGTCGCCAGCATCGCAGATGGGCGCAGGTCATCGCCAAGCATGCGCGACCCCTCAACCCTGCCTTACCCAGGGCGTAGTACGACGCGATACGATCGCGTACGAGACCAGCTTTGTCGCCCTGTCGTACGAGTTTGTTGTGGCGCAACTGGCATGAATTTTGCCCTGCAATAGCAGAAGCGTACGTTCTGCAAATCTTCCTCGGAGCTACTGGTGGTAGCGACGCGTGTCTTGTCGAGGTGTACGAGGCGCAAGTCAGATCCGTGTCGGGACGTCCACTTGGGAATCACGACTCACAACTCACGGGCTGTACAGTACAGTACGATCCGACGTGTGATGACTTGTCAGTTCTAACATTTTTCTACCCCTGCGACTAGCACACTCGTTTGTAAGCGTCATGAATTTGCCACTGCTGCAAAACCCGTTCCTTTACCGTAACCAATGGAAAATTACTAGAAAAAAAAAGCCACCTTTTATGCACACAAAAACACATCACAACCTAGCACAACAAAACAATGTCAGTCAAATTCTTTAAGTAGGAAATCAAGGAACCTTGAGCCCTTTATCAAGGTCAACGGTTCTGGCCCAATATGCTTGGCTGCGTGCCAGCTTGCGTGGCCATAGGAGGCCCGGACAAAAATGGGTCCATTTGGGAGGCAACTGGCGAATAAAAATAGGTCCGTGCCGCATGCACGGACAAACCTGAGGGGGTGGAAGGGACGGCTGGCAGTGCAGTGCCCCACGGGGGTGCATGCCATGCCACCCACGGGTGCATGTGTGGTGGCCGGGTCACAGGCGGCACCGGGTGGCGCAGGAATGGAGGGGCAGCAGCGGTGGGTGCATGGTGCTGCAGATATGGGCTGGTGGAGCGCTGCTGCTGTGGCCCTGCTGAGAGCGGCGCAACAGAGTTGTGCAGAGGAGTGGAAGCGAGATGCAGTGGTGCAGTGGCAGGGGCAGATGGGTGGGCTCGTGGGGCTGCATGCATGGGCATGGGCATGGGCATGGGCATGGGCACAGGCAGCACACCAGGTGGTGCTGACCCGTGGGGTGTGCTGTGCACTGAAGCAGCGGTGGCAGCGGCTGCAGCAGAGGCGGTGGAGGAGGCAGAGGAGGAGGACGTGGCAGCAGCAGCAGCATGGGGGGTGGGCGGGCAGGCAGTGGGGGCGAGGCTGGAGGCAGAGGGCAGGGCATGCAGGGGGCTCACATGCGGCACGGGGGAGACAGCAGCAGGCAGGGGGTAGTGGTGTGGGGCGCCATGCCCAGGGGGCGCTGCAGGTGCAGCAGGCAGCGGCAGGGCAGCAGAGGCGGGGGGGCGGGAGGGGCCGAAGAGGAGGGGCGAGCGGAAGAGCAGGTTGGCGATGGCACGGTCGATGCGGTTCGTCCCACTCTCCTCCCCACGCCCCTCCCCTGCCACCTCTGATGCCGATGCGCCCGCTGTACCAGCACCACCTCTCCCTGGCTCCGACTGACTCCGCCCCTCGTCACTACTCATCCCCGACGATCCTGTCCCCGCCCCCACTCCTGTCCCTCCTCCTGTCTCTCCCCCTGTCTCTGTCTCAGTCGCTGTCACTGCCTGCTCGCCCCACCCTGCATCGCCCCCAGCGGACGGCCTCAAGCCCCCAGTGGCGCTGCTGCAGTGGGTGCCAGGGGCGCCTGCCCCCCCCGTGCTGCGCCCCTTGGCGCTCTGTGCCAGCCGCAGCAGCGCCTCGTGGATGAACCGCCGGCTGCTCGCCGCCAGCTGTGCGCAAAAGGAGGAGGGGGAGCGGGAAAGGAGGGGGGGATGGTGGATGCTTGAGGCTTGAGAACGAGTTGGGCGAGGATGAGAGTGCAGGAAACATAGTAGAGTACAGGGGCAGGTCTGGGTGCAGAGGGGTGAGAAGCAGCGGATGCGAAAGCATGCATGCAGGGAGCAGAGAGTAGCGCCTGTCAAGTGGCAGGAAGCAGGAGGGGGCTCACCTTGGCCACAGTGCTCTCCAGCTCGTGCAGAATGGCCGCTTCCATGCCCTCGCCTGCCCCCTCACCCCCCTGCGCCCCATGCCCCATGCCACTCGCACCCCCCCCCCCCTGCAGCAGCACACGCGCCTTCAACCCCCACCGCACGCCCCTCCTCATGGCCCTGGGTGGCGCGGGCCATGCCCGCCTCGCCGCAGTGTGCCGCCTCACTGCCCTCACTCACGCCACTCGCCCCGCTCTCCTCTCCCGCGTCTGCTGCTGCTCCCCTCTCCTCACTCCTGCCTTGCAGCGTCCCACCACCAGCAGCATCACCAGCAGCAGCTGCAGCACCACCACCAGCAGCATCACCAGCATCACCAGCAGCACCAGCAGCAGCACGGCCAGCAGCAGCAGCCGCCTCATGTGCCTCTGCCAGCCCACATGCCCTGCCCTGCCCCTCGCCCTCCCCCTCCCTTACCCCACTCCGCTCCTTAGCCTCCAAAATTTCCTCCTTCCCCGGGCTTGCCAGTGATCGCCCCTCTGCTGCGTCAGCACTGCCTACAGCCTCATCAGCACCACCAACAGCCATGTCAGGACCGCCAACAGCCATGTCAGCACCGCCAACAGCCATGTCAGCACCGCCCACAGCCATGTCAGCACCGTCCACAGACCCACCATCGTCAGCAGGAGCTGGCAAACCTGGGCTCTCGAGTGCCCCCCTCACAGCTTCGCCCGGCGATACAGCCACGCACACTGCTGCTGCCATTGCCGTGGTGCAGTGAGTCTCATCCTCGCCCGCTGCTACACCCTTCCCTTCTCGCCTTGCTGCTTCTGCTGCTGCTGCTGCTGAATCTGCTGCTGTTGAGTCTGTGGCTGCTGCACCTGCTGGTGCTGAGTTTGCTGCTGCCGCTGTGTCTGCAGCCACGCGTGGGGAGGACACGGCCCTCTGCCCGCCTCCCTGCTGCTCCACGCCCTCTGTCCCACCACCTGCCTCTCGGCTCATCCGCCCCTCGACACCATCCATTGGTCCCTCTTGCCCTCCCTGCCACTCCTCCGCCCTTCCCTGCCTCTTCTCCACGGCAGATAACTGCTGCCCCTTCTCTTGCTGCTCCTGCTGCTCTTGCTGCCCCTGTTGCTCTTGTTGCCGCTGTTGCTCTTGTTGCTGCTGCTGCTCTTGTTGCTGCTGCTGCTGCTGCTGCTGCTGCGGCTGTTCCTGCACACGTTGCTGTTCCTGGTGCTGTGGCTGGTGCAGTTTATGCTGCTGCTGTTGCTGCTCCTGCTGCTCTCCCTGCCCCTGCTGCCCCTGCTGCCCCTGCTGACGCTGCTGCTGTTGCTCCTGCTGCTGCTGCTGCTGCTGCTGCTGCTGCCCCTGCCCCTGTTGCCCCTGCTGCTGCTGCTGCTGTTGCCCCTGCTGCTGCTGCTGTTGCTGCTGCAGTTGCAGCAGGTAGCGCTGCTGCTGTCTGGCCCAAAGCTGCCGCACATCCCACTTCATCCGCTCTCCCCCGCTCCCCATCCGCTCTCCACCTATTCTGCCCGCCTGCCCTGCCCCGACCTTCCCCTCGCTTTCCCCCTTCCCCCCGCCCGCCGCGCTGTCAGTGTGCGCCAGTGGGCTGGGTGGGGGCAGGTGCGGAAGCACCCACACTCCCGGCATGGGAGGCTTGAGAGGGGATGGGGACGATGGGGGGGGGTGGGAGGACGACGAGGGGGAGAGCGAGGGGGGAGCGGAGGAGCCAGTGGGAAGGACGGAGGGGGAGCGGGGGGTACAAGGGCGTGGCGCGGAGGCAGCGAGGAGGGGCGCGTGCGGCACGGCTTTGTCCCTCCCCGCTTGCCCCGCAGTGGGCGGAGGGGCGGTGGGGGCACGGGCTGTGGCGGGGGGGCGACGGGTGGGGGCGGGGGAGAGGGAGAGCGAGGGGGAGGCGGCAGGCGGCCTGGAGGAAGAGGAGGACGCAAGCAGCGCGGAACACTGCGAGTCACTGCACGCCCCCCCTCCTTGCTGCTGCCACGCTCCCCCCGCCTGTTGCTGCCACGCGCCACTCGCTGCCGCGCTCGTCCCTGCCCGCTCCCCCCTACCCGTCCCAACAGACCCACACTCCGCCTTTGGCTCCGCCCCCACGCTCCCGGTGCTCTGCTCTGCGTGCGCCTGAGCGCCGTGCTGCTGCTGCTGCTGGTGGCGCAGCGCGGGGTGCTGCTGGTGGAGGGCGAACATGGCGTGCCCCAGCGCCTGCTGCTGCTTCTGCTGCTCCACCGCTGCCCTCGCCTGCCTCACTGCCATCGTGCTGCCCGTCCCTGCCGTCCTGCCGTCCCTGCCGTGCCAGCACCAGGCTCGCTCACGGTGCCTGTGCCAGCGTGGGGCGAGGCAGCAGCTGCAGCAGCGGGGGGGACAGCGGCGGGTGGCGACGGCGTGGCGCGCACTGGGGGGCGCTGAGGCGGCGGGCAGGGGTGCGCGGGAGGCAGGAGGCGGGAAGGGAAGGCGGGCAGCAGCGGCTGCGAGGTGAGCGGGTAGTTGGGGAAGTGGGGGAGGCGGGGCAGGTGGGCGGGAGGGAAGTAGCGGAAGAGATGCGTGGGCGCAGGGCAGGGAGGGATGGGGAGGGCGTGCGAGGGCGGGCGAGAGTAGAGGTAAGGCGCGGGCGAGGGAGTGGGCGCGGCGGAGGCAGGGCGGGCACTGGCGGGCTGGCTTGAGGCGAGAGGCAAGAGCGGCGCAGCGGACATGTGGGGGGCGAAGAAGGGCGGGCAGTAGTTGGGGAAGTGTTGCGGCAGCGAGGGGAAGGGCACGGCGTGCTGTCCCAAGGGCAGCTTTCTGGACGCCGTGGTGCGCTGCTCGCCCTCCCTCCTCCTGCGCGTCGCTGCTCTCCGCCTCGCCTGTGGTGGGCGCATGGCACGGAGACAGGTTGTGTGTGCGAGTGGGTGATTGAGTGGGAGAGCGAGGGAGAGGGTCAGTGGGTGGGTGAGTGAGTGGGTGGATGAGTGAGTGAGTGAGGGGAGGGGCGGCGATGTACCTGCGAGAGGCAGCGCGAGGAGCCACCGGGGCTGGAGCTGCCGGGTGCGCCAGCCTCAGCTGCCGCCCCGCTGCTGCTCACGCTCGCAGCACGCGCGGCGCTGGAGCCACCCTCCCTCGACGGCGCGCTGTCCGCCGCTGCCGTGCGCAGGGCGCAGCTGTGGGCCTGGCAGCACAGCACAGCACACGGTGGGGTACAAAGCACAAATGGCGGCCGTCAGTACACGTACTTCCAGAGAGCGCCCCCCCCCAGCAGCCGCCATCCTGCCGTGCGTGGCGTGGTGTGCGCTGTGCTAGCATGCGAGGCAGCAAGATATTGTGATGATGGCATGCGCGACACTCGCAGCATGGAAGCACGAATTGCACGCACCTGTGCCACACACGCAGCAGCAGCAGCACCACCATTGCTCGCAAGCCCTGCTCTCGCGGCTCCCTTGCTGTCCGCGTCCGACGCAACAGCGCCATCCGCCTTCGCCCCTCCATCGCCCTCCGCGCCGTCCCCCCATCCCGCGTGGTCGCCCCCCTCCTCGTGTTCCGCCTCCAGCTCCTCCACCGCCCACACCTGCGCCGCGCGCCGCTCCTCCTCGCGGCAACGCTCGTCGGCGGCGCCGGCGGAGGGGAAGGCGCAGGCGGCATCGAGGAGCGCGGGCGCGGGCGGCAGCGGCACGGAGGGATCGGAGGCGGGGCCCCACCACGAGTGCAGGTCGGCGCGCGTGAGATGGGGGAGAGCGTCCGCGGAGGAGGGGGAGGGAGGGTCCGCGGAGGGGAGAGGAAGAAAGTCCCCGGAGGGAAAAGAAAGCGCGTCCGTGGCATAGGCGGAACTGCGGGTAGCGCGAGGCAGACAAGAGGGTAAGGTCAGGTGGGACATGCGAACCGGAGAACGGATATTCCGGCAAGCAAGTCTGACATCGGGAGCACAACGCATCAATGCCGTGTCAGAGCTGACCCACCTCATCAGCTCATCCACGTGGCTCGCCTGCTCGTGACCCCACGGCTCACTTGCCATGCCGTCCGCCCCGCCTTGCCTGTCCGGGGAGCTTGGTAGCTCGGCGCGCGGGAAGGCGCAAGCGGCGCTATGGTCCGCGCGCGCATGAGGACTGTGCTTGCCCACGCCAACGCCATCCCCAGCGCCATTCCCGCCCCCATCCTCCTGCTGCTCCCCCCACCCGTTCACGCGACGCGCGTCCCCTTGTGCTCCCTCGCAGCCTGCCAACTCGCGCGCCTCTCGCGGACCGTCAACCAAGCGGCCAGGCAACAGGTCCTTGCGGCCGCCGTCAGTTTCTGCAACCTCGACCTGTCGCAGTCTCGCAGCGTGCACCGCGTCGCAGCTGGCGTCAACGACACCCGCGGCGTCCCGGTCAGCGTGCGGCGCGGCGAGTTCGTCGTAGTCCTCGAATTGCTCCCATACCTGGTCGTCGAACTGCGCGCCATGCACGCGATTGGACAACACCCACGCATCCCGGTCAGCCATCGCTATCAGCCAAGCTCGAAAGGTAAAAAAATTGCAGGAAATATAGGCCATACATAGTAAGTTCGAGGCGAGAACTTCTGAATGTAAGTTGGTTCATTTCTTTCACAAAAAGAGATCGGATGTCATTTACTATGTTCCAGACCATCTCGAGCTAAAAGCCTGCAAAATTTAGAAGGTGGGAAGTCGAGCAAGAACAAGGAGGAGGAGATCTGGGCAGCAGAGCGATGTGAGGGTAGCGCACCATGGGCCAACTGTTGACCGCGCAGTCGCCATCCTCCATTTCCCATGCCGATGCCGACATCGCGGTCGAGCCGTCTTGGGAATTCACTACGAATGATACGCAAAACTACGCTTAGAGCTTACGACCTGGATAAGACTAGGAGTCAACTCGCATGGCTAGAAGAGTCTTGGACCAGAAACGCCAACTATTGCACCATGAATCTGTGGGAAAGGTTACTGTAGTAGCTAAGTCGATTGGACTGGAGGCAAGGTGTGAGCAAGGGTGCACCATCCAACGCGTTCCTTTGGCTTCCCTCACTCCGTTCCCAAGATTGGCTTCTGGAAGCTGACGATATGGAGGACAGGCTTCATGGGCTGCCCGACACAAGCCAGACTCACACCCGATAACAGATGCTGCAGGAAAGAGCACGAAACTGTTTCTATTCTGTGTGAAATGAACTCCCGGGTCACACAAATAAACCATGTAACGCTCTGAATCGCCATTCTGACGACATCGCCAGATTTTTGCGACGTGCTGTCGTTGGCAGTTCTTTACCGAGAAAAAATCTTCCGACAGGCGGTCCTCAGCCACAGGATGGATTCCCTCCAAAGCGAAGCTGCTCTGCTTTGTCGCTCGCTCGGTTCAGTCAGACTCGCCCGGATCCACCGCGTGCGACCAGAACCACTCGTAATTCCCAAAGGTGCTTTACGAAAAAAATCTCGAGAGTGCTCTTGATTTTTGGCCGTGGCTTGGTGTTTCCGGGCAGATGGGCGTATGTCCATGTCCGCAGCTGCCCATACCGGAGGTGGGTGCTGTTGGAGCTAATAACGAAGCTTCATTTTGGCTCAAACATCAGATTAGAACCAGCTTAGGAATAATAAATTGTAGGCATTTCTGTCTCCTTACTGATTTCAGCACTCAATCAAGCCAGAGAGAAGTTATCGACGCCAATGATTACATCTTAAGAAGAAGAAAAATCAGATATTAAAGAACATTTTTATTCATCATTGAAACTGATTGGCGAATCTGGTTTACGAATCACGAATCTCGCTGTGCTGTTGGCCATTTAGCAGCCCTACATCGCCTTTGGACACCTCGGTGCCATCTTGATCGAACTGGTCTGTCCATGACTCCCCTTCTTCCTCCTCCACCTCCCCGTCACTCCCAGTGCCTTCCGCGCCATCCACGCCCTCAAGGGCCTGCATGCCCAGGTCACTGCCTGCCTCGCTCTGCATGGCAGCCACCATCTGCGGCGTCACCTGCATCACACGAGGCCCCTCCCAGGGGGCGGGCTGGCCGTCCTCCCACCCGCGGTACAGCACCACCTTGGACGGCTCCTGCGACACAAACACCCCCCCAGTCGCCTCCTGCACATGTCACAAAGCACACACCACCCTAGTTAGTGTCACAGACAGTCAGATCAAACCCAAATGAGCTGCAGCACACACCCGTGGGGAGGCAAAAGCGCACCCAGGCATGCCCTTGGCACCCCCCCTGACCTCGAGCTGCTTGACGATCTCTTGTGCTGGCGTGCCGGCCGCCCGGCCTCGGATGCCCACCTTCACGAGCGCATGGCGTGTGAAGTGCAGGCGGATGGCCCTCGCCAGCCCCTCCACCACGTTGCTGCGCCCTGTGGCCGTGCGGACGAGGGGGCACCATGTATGGAGACACCACGCATGTGCATGCATGCGAACGTCAGAGGCACCATGAACATGCAAGCACAGTTACACGTGGATGGGATACAGCATATAACACCGCAAAAGGGGATGAGAGCGAGAGGGGAGGAAGAGGGGAAGAGAGCAGCTGAATAATAGCAAGTGAGAGCGAGGGATGGAAACCAAGGGGTGGTGGGTGCACTGACCAACTTGGAAGGCGGCGGTGCTGTCGAGGGTGAGCGCCCTGCGCCGGAGCTCGAGGCGCTGGGAGCGCGAGAGGGGAGGCGCCCTGAAGAGAGGCCCCACTAGCGCCCGCTCCCTCACCTCCTCCCTGCCCACTCGCCACGTCTCCCGCACTGCCTCCCTCTCCCGCTGCTGCCGCTGCCTCTCCTCCTCGTCCTGCTGCTGCTGCAGCTGCGGCTGCACGCTGGCAGCAATGAGCGCATCAATCTCAGCCGCCTCCGCCTCCGCAGCGGGCGACAGCGGGGAAGGCCCGTCCGCACCTGCCTCACTTCCCTCCTCCCATGTGTCTGTGCTGCTGCTGCTGCCAGTGCTGGTGGCGGAGTCCAGAGAGAGAGGCAAAGAAGGGAGAGAGGCGCGGGAAAGAGGCGCTATCTCGCCAGGCTTCACCTGTGACCCTCTCTCTGCCTCTGCCTGCCCTCACACACATCCACACACACACGCACACACACACACGCACACAGGCACACACACAGCGTGGTGCGAGCAGATGGGAAAGGAGATGATGTAACTAAATCAGAAGAGGAGCAGACGAGCAGAAAAGCGGAGGGGAGCAGAAGGGCGGGAGAGTGGAGGGGAGAAAATCCGGGAGAGCACTGACCAGGCCTTGTGAGAGGCGGGCGATGGCGGTGTCGAGGTCCCTCATGTGTGCTTCCAGTGACTGCAGGGCGGGGGGGGGGGGGCATGGCATGCAGTGCACAGCATGGATTGGCAGGGGATGACGTAGCCGTTACACACAGAGCATGCGACTCATAAGGGCCTAGCCGCAAGCGAACATACCGACTGAAAGCATCAGAGTCTGTGAGTGAGGCAGACACAACACAATCTCGTCAGCCATGGCCCCACCAACCCCACACCTCCACACCGGCCCCCCTCCTCCCCACCCCTCCCCCCCGTCCCCCCTTCCTCCCCCAGCTCACGGCGCGGCGCTGCTCCTCGGTGGCGCGTTTGAGCGCCTGGCGCTTGGTGAGCAGCCCCTTGGGGCGCAGGACGGAGGGGCGAGAGTAGTTCTTGCCGCGATACACGATGATGGCGTGGTACTTCTTCACGGGCACCACGTCCACCAGCACGCCGCCGCTCTCCACCGCCAGCATGCCCGCCACGTCCTCTGCTCGGCGCCGGTCGCGCTCCTTGCAGATGATCTTGACCAGCTCGCGGTGCTTCCAGTGCAGATGCATGTTCTCCACCAGCCCCGCGAACACCCCCCTCTTGCCTGCATGCCCCGGGGACGAGGGAGGGAGATGGGGGTGAGAAGGAGCGAGAATATGCTGGGTGGAAACAAGGGAAGAGACTAGGAGAAGCGCACGTTGCAACTTGCAATTGTCAGCAATGGGTGTCAAATGGCGGGGAGGAGAGGCAGGTGGGTGGGCGGCATGGCGTGGCACGGACCCATTTCAAGGTAGGCGCGCATCTTCTGGCCGAGCTTGCGGAACATGTGCCTCTCCTCCTCTGTCAGCGTCTCACTGTCCGCCGGCACCTCCACCGGCCGCAGCACCGCCTGCAGCTTCTCCAACTGCTCCTCCGCCCGCCCCTTCTTGCGCAGCGCCTGCTCCACACTCACAGAGAGGGCGGCGCACGGGTGGTGGAGGGGTGAGGGCAGTTAGCATTTACTGCAGCAGAGGTACGGAGCAGCTGGGGCAATGGCAGGCAATAAGCTGCAGCTTTGGGGTTGATAGGAACAAAACAATACACCAACAGCTTCTGCTCTATCTGCCATCCCACCTGAGCCAGCTTCTGCTCTATCTGCCGTGCCAGTGCCAGCCGCCTGGACGCCTCTATGGCCTCCCGCCGCCGCCGCCGCTCCTCCTCCACCAACTGCCCCTCCACCAACTGCCCCTCCACCAACTGCCCCTCCACCTCCCCCTCCTCCCCGCCCTCCGCGTCTCCCCTGCCGTCAGACGAGTGCACTGCGCTCCCAGGAGAGGCTGCGCGATGATGGGCGTGCAGGCAAGGTGAAACACACGGGGGCGCAGAGTGGAGAGAGTGAGGGCGTATAGCATACAAGAAGGTGCTGTGCGTGAAACAATGCCGCGACGAGGAGAGAGTATATCCATGAAAAAGTCGTACAAACCCGCCCATGCACTGGTCACCACTGACCACTTCCCGTACCTCCCCATGCGCCCCCCTCGCCGTGTGCACAGCCGGAGGGCGAGGGCAGCAGCAGCGAGGGCAGGGCGAGCAGGCGCTCCCTCTCCTCCTCGTCCGCACTCTGCCGCGCGTGCTGCTGCCGCGCTGCGAGCGTGGTGGCGAGCGCGGCGGGCAGGAAGTCCTTGCCGCGGTACAGCGAGATGAAGAACTTGTCGCGCGCCAACAGCACCCCACCCGTCAGCCTCTGGTGGAGGGCGGGTGGGGGGGAGGAGAAGGGGAGAGGCGGGGTTGAGAAGCAGAGAGGAGGTGATGGGAGGACGAGTGTGTGTGGGGTGTGGCAGGCGTTGTGACTGCAAGCACCTGGCACGCCCCCAGCTCACTTTGAGCTCCTGCGCCATGCAGCTCACCTTGAGCTCCTGCGCCATGCAGCTCACCTTGAGCTCCTGCGCCATGCAGCTCACCTTGAGCTCCTGCGCCATGCAGCTCACCTTGAGCTCCTGCGCCATGCAGCTCACCTTGAGCTCCTGCGCCATGCAGCTCACCTTGAGCTCCTGCGCCATGCAGCTCACCTTGAGCTCCTGCGCCATGCAGCTCACCTTGAGCTCCTGCGCCATGCAGCTCACCTTGAGCTCCTGCGCCATGCAGCTCACCTTGAGCTCCTGCGCCATGCAGCTCACCTTGAGCTCCTGCGCCATGCAGCTCACCTTGAGCTCCTGCGCCATGCAGCTCACCTTGAGCTCCTGCGCCATGCAGCTCACCTTGAGCTCCTGCGCCATGCAGCTCACCTTGAGCTCCTGCGCCATGCAGCTCACCTTGAGCTCCTGCGCCATGCAGCTCACCTTGAGCTCGTCCGCCATGCAGCTCACCTTGAGCTCCTCCGCCATGCGCTCGTTGCTGGTGTTCTGCACGCCGCGCTTGACGCCAATCTTGGCCACCTCGCTGCGCTCCCACAGCGCCACCACCGCCGCCGCCAGCCCCTCCAGCCCCCTGTTGCGCCCTGCTCGCCCCCACCACAGCACACCCCACCCCGCCCACCGTACAAGAACGACAGCGCAGAGGGACGAGTGAGGATGTAGGGTTTAGGGTTAAACTGAGAGAGAAAGGGGAAATAGAGACTGAGATTCAATGGGGCGCGCATCACCTAGCATGAAGTGGGGCGCGCATCACCTAGCATGAAGTGGGGCGCGCATCACCTAGCATGAAGTGGGGCGCGCATCACCTAGCATGAAGTGGGGCGCGCATCACCTAGCATGAAGTGGGGCGGCAGCTTCCTGGCAAGGTGGCGCAGGCGGGTCATCTCATCGTTGCTCAGCTTGCTGCTCACACCGTACGGCACCAGGCGGAACGGCGCCCGGTACCCCGCCGCGGCTGCTCCCCCCAGCAGCTGGTCGGCGTCCACGGGGGCATGGCCGGGCCGCTCCCACCCCGCCACCTTGGGACCCAGCCCCAATGTCACGTCCTCCTCGCCTGCTGCTGCTGCTGCTGCTGACACCCCGCCCTCCCCACCCTGCCCTCCCCACTCCTGCTGCTCCTCACCGCCGCTTGCCCCGCTCACCAGCGCTGCCTCTTGCTGCTCGCCATGCCGCCCCTCTCCCTCTCCCTCGCCCTCCACTTCCCCATCACTCATCTCTCCCTCTCCCCACCCCCTCGCACCATCACTCCCCATCTCCTCCAACCCCGCTTCTGCTGCATTCCCCACTTCCCCCACCTGCCCCTCCCCCTGTTGCACCTGCGCCCGCTGCCCCGCGCCCCCCTGCCCGTACTGCGGCCCACGGTACACTGCCAGCGCTGCCCCCGCCCGCCACACCACCATGCCGCCCGTCAGCCGCTGGGGGGGGGGGAAGGGGGGTCCGGGGGGGGGGGTGGGCATAACGAAGGAAAGAGTTGGGGAAGAAAAAAAGGAGGTTGGGATGGGGGCAGTGGAGCGTAGGAAAGAAGCAACGCAACGGGTGGAGGGCCGTGCTTCCTCCACGCTGGCAGTGGCAGTTACAGGGGCGGGGGTAGGGGGAGGGGGAGGGGCAGGGGGAGGGGCGTCACCTCGATCTGCTCGTGTGTGTGGCGCATGTTGAAGGCGGGCGCCCCCTCGCACCTGACCTTCACCACCTCGTGCCCGGCACGCCACCGCGCCTGCACCGCCGCCACTATGCCCTCCGTCACGCCCTGCCGCCCCACCTTCACCGGCTGCCGCAGCACCATCACTGCCGCCCGCAGCCGCCTCAGCTCACCGGGCGGCAGGCTCACCTCCGCCACCCACGCCTGCCGCACCCGCCTTTCCCGCACACCCACCGCCTCCCCTTGCACCCCGCCGCCTGCCCCTCCGCCCCTCCCCCTCCCCAGCCACGGGAACTCCTCCCCCTGCTGCTCCCCCCCTGCCACGCCCCGCCACCCATCCTCTGCGCCCACGCGCGCCTGTGCCGCCCGGCCCGAGTCATCATCCCGCCCCCCGCCCCTCCTCCCCCCTCCGCCATGCCCCCATCCCTCGCCCCTTTCAGCGCCCTCCTCCCACGGAAAGCGCGCGCCCCCATCTTGCATTGCTGGCGAATCATAGAGCTCCACGTCATCAGCTGATCTAAAGGCGTCACCATTCCCCCGAGGCAGGTGCGCGCCTCTAGCCCACGCAGGCGCGCCACTTGCGCCTCCCCTCGCTTCCTGCGCGGTCCCCCTCCATCGCCCCCCGCCCCCCTCCCTCCACCTATCCGCCCCTGACCTCCCGTCTTCCCCCCTAAAACCAGAATTGCTTCCTCTTCTCCCGTTGCCCATCACCCCATCAAACCTCCCGCCTCTCGATTCCCGCCACGTGTCCACCCGCCCACCACCTCGCCCACCTGACCTCACCCGCTCTTCCTCCGCGCCAATCGCACGGCCCGCCACGCCATGTCCCCCGCTCCTTGCATCTTTTCCCCCTTCTCCACCCGCCGCCCAACGCTCCCTGCTCTCTCCGCGGGGCCCTCGCCATCCTCCGCGCACGTGCGCTCCCCCCGCCCCACTCCCGCCCCGCTCCCTGAACCCCACGCTGCTGCCCGCTCCCTGCCTCCCGCCTGCCCGCCCCCCTTCCCCCGCCTGTCGTGACTGCTCGCCCTGCGACCCGGCCGCCGCAGCTGCCGAAGTGGAGAGCCGCACAGGACTCGGCGCGAAGTGGGAGGCCTTAGGCGAGTGGCGCAGCGCTAGTCCCAGCCCTGCGTGCGCGCGTGCCGCCGCTAAACCCCGCCCCGCGAAGAGCGAGCGTCGGAAACCCAAGGCTTGCATGGCGGGTCGTCTTTCTAGGGTTCGCGAAAGCACATGAAGGGACGTCAATGGGCCGGCGTTGTGAGCGAAACGGTTACCAGTCGCTCCTCGCACAGTGGCGTGCGACGATAGCAGCGCCGCAGCACGACGCGAGACGAGCGGCGACGAAGATACTGCGAGCACCGCCGGAATGGCGGCGGCGTTGAGCATAGCGGCGAGCGGGGGAGCCTCGGCTTGCGGATTACCGGCAGGAGTTGTGAGGGAAGCGGACGCGATGCGAAGGCACGGTGCTGTAACGCACGTGGCGAAACTTGACCCTCGCTCGAAACAGGTCCGCCGCTAGCGCATTCCGTGGGGTGCGTATGGCTGAAAGAAGCTGCTGTGGTGGGCTGGCGGGCGCTGCGCGAACCAAAAGCGCTGGCGGAATATCAGGGTTGTGGGTGGCTGCTGGGATGAAGCACAACAACTTCTCTGCGGGGTGGTCTGTCACAATTTAGAAGCCCCGCTCCTCAATACACTCCAGAACAAAACAACTTAACCTTGTTAGACTACTACAGAAAAGAAAACACAATTTCCTCCTAGTCTAGAAGGACAAAAGACCCCCCATTGTTTTCCTCAACACTCTGACTGTCGCAAGATTTTACTAATTAGTCCTCTCTGTCAGTAGATCTGCACTGTGGATCCCCGATTGATCCTATGGGGAATCACATGCGCCTTCGCCAGCACCAATGACCAATCATGCTCGACGCACTCTCACGCTCTTGCTGGTTTGGTGATAGGCCTAAACACACACAACCGCGTGACCGAACAGAGGAAAAACACTCAGAACGAGCATTTTCATTCCCAAAACGAAGAAGGATCCGCACATGTGCAAAAAATGCAACAGGCATGGTTCACTCGCCAGCACCAATGACCGATCATGCTCGACACCCTCCCACGCTCTTGCTGGCTTGGTAATAGGTCCAAAACCACACAGCCGCGTGACCGAACGGAAGAAAAACACTCGGAACAACTGCACCCGATCCCAAAATATGGAAGGATCCGCACATGTGCAGGAAGTGCAGCGGGTGCTCTTCATTCGTGAGCGCCAATGACTGATGATGCTCGCAACCCTCCCACGCCCTTGCTTGCTGGGTAATAGGCCCAGTCCAGCGCAGCCACGTGACCCGGCGGAAGAAAAAAACGCTCGGAACGAGCGCTTCCGCAGGAAGTGCAGCGGGCGCTCTTCGTTCGCGAGCGCCGAAGACCGATGATGCTTGCAACCCTCCCATGCCCTTGGTGGCTTGGTAATAGGACCAGACAAGCGCAGCCACGCAAGCCGGCGGAAGAAAAACGCTCGAAACGAGCGCTCCCACCCCCAAAACGCGCAAGGATCTGCACATGTGCATGAAGTGCAGCGGGCGCTCTTCATTTGCGAGCGCTGATGACCGATAATGCTTGCAACCCTCCCACGCCCTTGCTGGCTTGGTAATATGACCAGAAGAACGCAGCCACGTGAGCAAGCGGAAGAAAAACGCTCGAAACGAGCGCCCCCTGTCGAAACAGCAGGCGAAAACTAGGGGTTTTCACTAGCAGCAGTTGAGATACATATAGGAAACCCTAATTGGATTGTACTCACTATAGAGTACCCCACTCCACGCTAGACAAACATCGACATTCTGACACACCCCCATAGTCAAAGTGGGGTACAGTCAATACAACAAGCAGGCAGTGCAATAGTTCACAAGGATAAGCAAAGCTAGAGGCTATCACAGAGGGCAAGTGAGGAGGAGGAGAAACTATGGAGGGCGAGAAGATGAGAGGCGACGGCTGAAGCTGCAGACACACGTACAACAGGAGTGCGCAGCACTGACGCTACCAGGCTAAACCCGGGCTACACGGCGATAGGCGCAGCTGGCTCACTGTGCTCCCAGGAGTGCTTACACTATGGCTACTGGGCGCAAAGCCCCGGACTACACGACCACAGGGGGTCGTGGCTCTCTGGACTTCAGGCGCTGCGGACGACACGTCCGCTACCTCCGGTTAACCTCCCCCAACTGTCCCACACCCCTTTCACATACCCCTTGCAGAACCACTAGCACCGCTCACACGCCACCCTCCTCATACCACTCCGACGGCTCCAACACATCCACCCCCCTCAACGGCAGCTGCAGCAGCGGGAGACGGAGGAGGAGGAGTAGGGGACGACTCATACACACGGCACCCCCATACTCTCCACCCCCAAACCCTAACACAGGAGTGCGGTCAGAAGCTCGGGGGATGGCGTGCGGCACTGGGGCAGACGGTACGGGCCGCTCACGGGCCTGGCGCAGGCCGTACGGGCCGCGCGCGGGCTATACAGGCCGCGCGCGGGCCCGGGGCTGCCCGTACGAGCCGCGCGCGGGCCTGGCGGAGGCCGTACGGGCCACGCGCGGGCCTAGCGCAGGTCGCACGGGCCGCTACGGGCGACGGGGGGCGACGCACGGGTCCCCGGGGGCGCTGCGACGGGCGACAGGGGGCGACGCGCGGATCGACGGGGCAGAAAACCGCCGCGTGCCTCGAGGCGCACGGCAGGCTCGCGGCGGGATGAAAAAATACGCCGTGCACCCAAGCGCGCGGCAAGCAGAACACGTCGCGCGCCCAGGGCGCGCAATAGGCAGGACAGCAGCGGAAGCATTAGGTGGCGGGCCCATCCACAGGATCGACCCAGGAGGGTTGACCTGCTTTGATAGCATGTCGAAACAGCAGGCGAAAACGAGAAACAGGAAAGAGGGGTTTTCACTAGCAGTAGTTGAGATACATATAGGAAACCCTAATTGGATTGTACTCGCTATACAGTACCCCACTGCAGGCTAGACAAACATCGGCACTCTGACACCCCCAGCCCCAAAACGTGGAAGGATCCGCACATGTGCAGGAAGTGCAGCGGGCGCTCTTCATTCGCGAGCGCCGATGTCCGATGATGCTCGCAACCCTCCCGCGCCCTTGCTGGCTTGGTAATAGGACCAGACAAGCGCAGCCACGCGAGCCGGCGGAAGAAAAACGCTCGGAATGAGCGCTCCCAACCCCAAAACGTGGAAGGATCCGCACATGTGCAGGAAGTGCAGCGGGCGCTCTTCATTCGCGAGCGCCGATGACCGATGATGCTCGCAACCCTCCCACGCCATTGGTGGCTTGGTAATAGGACCAGACAAGCGCAGCCACACAAGCCGGCGGAAGAAAAACGCTCGAAACGATCGCTCCCACCCCCAAAACGCGCAAGGATCTGCACATGTGCAGGAAGTGCAGTAGGCGCTCTTCATTTGCGAGCGCCGATGAACGATGATGCTTGCAACCCTCCCACGCCCTCGCTGGCTTGTTAATAGGACCAGACAAGTGCAGCCACGTGACCCAGCGGAAGTGAAACGCTAGAAACGAGCGCTCCCAACCCCAAAATGCGGAAGGATACACACATGTGCAGGTTGTGCAGCGGGCGCTCTTCATTCGCGAGCGCCGATGACCGATGACGCTCGCAACCCTCCCACGCCCTTGCTGGCTTGGTAATAGGACCAGACAAGCACAGCCACGTGTGCCGGTGGGAGAGAAACGCTCGGAACGAGCGCTCCCAGCCCCAAAACGCGGAAGGATCCGCACATGTGCAGGAAGTGCAGCGGGCACTTTTCATTCGTGAGCGCCGATGACGGATGATGCTCGCAACCCTCCCACGCCATTGGTGGCTTGGTAATAGGACCAGACAAGCGCAGCCACACAAGCCGGCGGAAGAAAAACGCTCGAAACGATCGCTCCCACCCCCAAAACGCGCAAGGATCCGCACATGTGCAGGAAGTGCAGTGCGCACTCTTCATTTGTGAGCGCTGATGTAGATGATGCTTGCAACCCTCCCACGTCCTTGCTGGCTTGGTAATAGGACCAGACAAGTGCAGCCACGGGACCCAGCGGAAGTGAAACGCTAGAAACGAGCGCTCCCAACCCCAAAACGTGGAAGGATACACACATGTGCAGGAAGTGCAGCGGGCGCTCTTCATTCGCGAGCGCCGATGACCGATGATGCTCGCAACCCTCCCACGCCCTTGCTGGCTTGGCAATAAGACCAGTCAAGCGCAGCCACGAGGGCCGGCGGAAGAAAAACGCTCAAAAGAGCGCTCCCACACCCAAAACGCGGAAGGATCCGAACACGTGCAAGAAGTGCAGCGGGCGCTCTTCATTCGCTAGCGCCGATGACCGATGATGCTCGCAACCCTCCCACGCCTTTGCTGGCTTTGCAATAGGACCAGAAAAACGCAGCCACATGACCCAGCAGAAGAAAAACGCTCGGAACGAGCGCTCCCACCCCCAAAATGCGGAAGGATCCGCACATGTGCAGGAAGTGCAACGGGCGCTCTTCATTCACGAGCGCCGATGACCGATGATGCTTGCAACCCTCCCACGCCCTTGGTGGCTTGATAATAGGACTAGACAAGCGCAGCCACGTGAGCCGGCGGAAGAAAACGCTCGAAATGAGCGCTTCTAGCCCCAAAACGCGGAAGGATCCGCACATGTGCAGAAAGTGCAGCAGGCGCTCTTCATTCGCGAGCGCCAATGACCGATTATGTTAACAACCCTCCCACAGCCTTGCAAGCTTGGTAATAGGACCAGAAAAGTGTAGCCACGTGAGATGGCGGAAGAAAAACGCTTTAAACGAGCGCTCCCATCCCCAAAACGCGGAAGGATCCGCACATGTGCAGAAAGTGCAGCAGACGCTATTCATTCGCGAGCGCCGATGACCGATGATGCTTGCAACCCTCCCACGCCCTTGCTAGCTTGGCAACAGGACCAGACAAGCGCAGCCACATGAGCCAGCGGAAGAAAAACGCTCGGAACGAGCGCTCCCACCCCCAGAACGCGGAAGGATCCACACATGTGCAGGAAGTGCAGCGCGCACTCTTCATTCGCGAGTGCCAATGACCGATGATGCTCGCAACCCTCCCACGCCCTTGCTGGCTTGGCAACAGGACCACACAAGCGCAGCCATGCAAGCCGGCGGAAGAATAACGCTCAAAACGAGCGCTCCCAACCTTAAAACGCGAAAGGATCCGCACATGTGCAGGAAGTGCAGCAGGCACTCTTCATTCGCGAGCGCCGATGATCGAAGATGCTCGCAACCCTCCCGCGCCCTTGCTGGCTTGGCAAAAAGACCAGTTAAGCGCAGCCTTGAGTGCTGGAGGAGGAAAAACGCCCGACGAGCGCTCCCA